TCGATATCTTGATCCATCGTAGGTCAGTATGCGTAGCTTCGAGCCAGCGCTTTCATCTTATTGATACCAGGATGACCGCTGTGGAATTGTCTCAGAACCTTGTAGCGTAATACTTTTGGAACAATAATTCTGTCACCAAACATAGTACATGAGTCCACCATCATAAGTGAGTCCCGTCGGCAAAAATATTGTAGCATTTCTCCTTGAAAACGACGGTTCGGCCACTTGGTGAGAAGATAACCACTAACCTCTCTTAAAGTCTTGTCATTTTCCGTGGCTTCTTTGATGGCCTTGAAGGAAACTGGTAAACCATCAACTGCGTCTTCCAAAACTCGATGTACTTCTGTTTCCGTCTCGATTGCTGCCACCAAAGTGTCTTCTTTCTGTTTTACTTGTGAACCAATCAGTCTAGATAAAGCGTCAGCTTGTCCAAAATCAGTAGTGAGCTGGTACTTGATCTTAAAGTCCTAACCCAAGAGTGTAGTTCCCCAACGTTGCAGTCTGTTTGCAGTGTATACAGGTATACCTTTCTTCGACCCAAAGATGGCTAGTAATGGTTTATGGTCAGTTAATAGGGTGAACTGACGCCCAAATATCATCTTGTGAAACTTCTTGACAGTGAAGATAATCGACAATGCTTCCTTCTCGATCTGACTATAGTTACGTTCTGCTGACGTTAACGATCTAGCCGCATGTGATGCCGCCTCAGATCCATCTGGCATGATGTGAGAAATAATTGCTCCAATGCCGTAGTTTGAAGGGTCTGATGCTACTACAGTGGGTAAAGATGGATCGTAATGGGTGAGCAGCAGATCCGAGACTAGTACTTTCTTGATTTCATCGAAAGCAGCTTTTTAGTGGCCCGTATGATCTGACTCCAAGATCGTATAGATGTTTGTTATAGCTTATTCTCGTATATCATCGTCGACTTGAATCGCGTTATCCAATAACGGAATTGAATAAGTCGAATAACGAGAATTCACTTGAGAATACATATATTTCTTACATGAAGCGAATGAAACATAACAAAGCAAAAATGACACGTATGGAAGACGGCTGGGAAGCCAACTCCCTCTTTGTCAAGCGTTACTCAATATTTATAGTCAGACAAAATAAAGCTACAGACATGTGATTAATGGAATAAGAAGGGCACACACATATACGCTCATATAAAAACAGTCTAGATTGATAAGCGAATAAATAACAAGGTCAATGTATGGCTCAAGTAAAATGAATAGAATGGGATGTCCGAAAGCTCGAATAAGGTATATGGGCTTGGCATAATAACTGACACTACAGCTTGGCAAGTTGCAGACCAATTCCATTTTACATTCTTCGACAGAAGATTATTCAGGGGCGCACGTAATTGATGAAGGTTCTGAATAAATGCTCCATAATGGCTAACTAGTCTCAAGAAGGATCGTAGTGTGGGGACATTCGTCGGTCTGGGCATAGTTTTCACTGCCTGGGTATTCTCCGGATCTGGTCTTCTTCCATGTTTGTCGATTATAAACCCAAGGTAGCGTACTTTTCGCATACAGAAGTCACATCTCTGGACGAAGTCGAAGTCCATATTCGGCTATTCGCGTCAGCACCTGGTCGAGCTTCTTTTCTAAGTCTATTCTATCTACTCCCATAATTATTATATCATCTAGATAAGCTGCAGCACCTGAATCATCTTTTAGCATAGTATCCATTGTTTGCTGAAATATGGATGGGGCCGTCTTGACTCCGAAGTGTAGTCGATTATACCGGAATAGACCCTTGTGTGTGTTTATGGTAAGCAGGTTTTTAGACTCGTCAGCAACAGGGATTTGTAAATAAGCTTCGGATAAATCCAACTTTGCAAAAAGCTTACCTCCGTTCAGTTTAGCAAAAAGATCTTCAGGTAATGGTAATGGATACTGATGAGTTTCTAAGGCTTCATTCAACCCGGTTGAGTAATCGGCACATAAACGAACTCTACCATTAGTCTTCTTTACTACTGCTATCGGTGCGGCCCATTCTGAAAAATTCACTGGTTCACTGACACCTAGTTTCTGAAGTCGTTCTAGCTCTTGTTCAACCACTGGGAGAGCAGCATATGGTACGGGTCTCTTAGGTCGAAAAACGGGAGTAGCTGCAGGCATTAGGGTTAAAACTGCTTTGGCCTTCGTACATTCCCCCAATCCTTCTTTAAACACGTTTTGGTGTCTTTGTAGCATGGCATTTTTCTGGCTCCGCTCTGAGGTGTTTTGAGTACTGACTCGTCTGCAGATACTGTTAAGAGAATGGTCTGCTAGTTTAAGTGTTTCTATTAGATCTAACCCCATTAAGTCGAGTCCTGGCTTCTTTGTAAGATATACTGTTGCATTTGTTGTTACAGTGCCTTTAGAAACAGTGCATGGCACTTATCCAACAATATTTAACTTCCTCTCAGAGGCACTGTGTGCCAGCTGTGTCGTTGGGAAAACTGTGGGTCTTCCAATGTTCTTCCATGTTTCTGGGCTGATTACAGTAATATCAGAAGCTGTGTCAAGCTGAAGGCGAGTACGGTGTTTATTAATATTCAAGGTTACGTACTTTCTTTGGCGGCAACTTCGTGCTTTGTTATGTGATACCAATATTTTGTTGGCTGGAGCACTATATTTGTATTTCTTTGAGTAAGGTTTCAAGGAATGTTGTTTATAGTTTCTTCTCCTGCAGAGGTTTTCTTTATGCCCCTTCCGATGACATTTGCTGCAACGATGTTCTTTATATGGTCAAAACCTCTTATAGTACCAACCTCCACATGCACAGCATGGAGATGATGGTTTGTCGCTGTTATTACGATAATGTGTGCTGGAACCTTGAAAGACTTTTTTCTTGACTGCATCGACGTTATGGAAACAGTTACCGTTTTCTACCATTAAGGTATCATGCTTCGAGTTTACTAACCTTTGACACTCGGTAGTCACTTCCTGTAGGGTCATGTTAGGGCAGTGTTCGAGTTTGCTTAGGATTCTGGTTCGGATATTGGCATCCTCGGGTGAACGCAGGCTACAGATAAATACTAAGCATTTAAAGTGATCTTCAGACATGGACGACAATCTGAACCTCTCACATTCTCGGTTCACAGTTCCTGCATGCTTCACCAAGTCACCTCCTGGTTCTTTCGTTAACTTTAAGCACTGGTAACGGATATTGAATAGAGATGATTGTTCTCCGAAGATTTGGGACAGGGTTTTGACTGTATCATCAAAACTAAAATCTCGTGAATTCTTCGGAAGAATGAAGTTGCTATAGCGTTCATGTTCCATAGTCTCAAGTATTCAAAGAATTATTCTGACTTTCGAAGCATCATTCAGTTTTCAAAGATCAATATAAAACAAATCTTCATACTTCTTAAGCCACGACTCGAGAGTTACACCTGCTGCACCATCAAAATTAAATCCATGGATGGCGTTAATGACTGAAACAGTATGTGATACTTGTGATTCACCGGAAGCAGGGTTTTGCTGGGACAGGCAGAATTTCTGCATCAGGGTTTCCATGATTCTAATTTGGGACTCTTCAAACCTCTTTTCTTGACGCACCATATAGGCTTCTAATTGCTCCAAGGCAATATTCATCGTAGTTTTCATCCCCATCGCCACTGATACGTCTTGTCGATGAAACGCTATATACGATCCCTAAGCTATTCCGGTAATCCGCAGTCTAGAACTACACAGCGACTTGAACACCAGAGAGAAGACACAAGTATGAGAGAAAAATACTTTATCCCAAGGTTCATTTTTGTACAGAAAATCATAGGTATTTATAGATGTTGGCGTCTGTCAAATCAACACAATATTTCAGCCAATCCGTTAACGACATATTATGCTACCGATCAATAGTAGCACGCCGCGTTGGAATTCTCGAGTGTTCCATCATACTCTGATTGGCTAGGACCCTTCGGCTCCTTCTGGGCCTCTGGAGGCTCCGTTGAAGTTCCCCGGAAGCCGGCTCAACACTTCGATGGGGCAATTCACGTAATGTTATGACGGCGAGGTGTGACTGTGACGTTATCTGGTTTGTCACACCATTCCCGTCTAACTCAATTAGGCCTTCAATCATTCGACGTAGATCATCTACGCTGATGATTTACAGAAATAAATAGGTACAGCATGGGGAAAATGCCTTTACCCGTAGTCTGGTCTTACAAGGATCTTGTGGTGACAGAGTCATGCTCTTAAGACCACGGCCCATTTCCCGGGGGCTCGCAGATAGGGGGTTTAGAACCCTCTGAGATTTAAGACGGACATTCATCAAGTTAAATACTACCATGTTCACTACAGTATGCAGACCCTTGGTGAGAACTAAGCTTGGATATTGCGTTCAAGCTGCAAGCCCCAGTTTAAAAGGTAACATACAGAGGGCAGCTACCTGTACAGTTTCAGAAATCCGAGGTTTTCCATACAAAGAGCGTCTCGGAAAGCTAGACCTCCTTACGCCGTCCAATCGCAGATTAAGAAGTGATCTGATTTTAATGTATAGAATACTAAGAAATGATTTCGAACCTAACATATTCTCTCCTTTTCTTCCCACCAGATCAAAACATCTCAAAAGACATAGCCGACGACTAGGAAAGTCGATAACGAACAAAATATCCGTGACATACAAGTTTCCACACCGAGTTATCAATTCTTGGGACATGTTGCTCGAAGTAGTAGTGTCTGCACCATCAATTGACACATTCAAGAGAAAACTAAGCACCCACAGAAGCATACCAGAAAGGGAATAAAACAGGCCATAGGCCCTCAGTCATTACTACCTAAAACAGAATCTGATGTTCGAATCGCTGAAATTCAGTAAGGAATTTTCCGGAAAGTTGTGAGTTGGACAGGGTGGTTTCAAAACATCTAAATCAAAAAAATCAACAACTGTTAGTCCAGTTTTTCACGAGATTGTATAAGAATACGGACTATTGCTATAACTAATCTACGTTCGTGCAAGCAAACAGAATTTGTTCGTATCGATAATGTCTATTCAAATTGCAGACTCTAGAAACGCGCACTAACTAAAACGCTGAAGGTTGTCTGAAGTAGTGTGCGCATTCTCGTGAGTCACGTATTTCTCTGTCGCTTATTAGTTAATTGGTTTTAAAATCAACACTGAAAGCTATGGTACTTAAAACATCTACTCAGCCACTCTCAACTGGTACTGTTGTTGTAAACATCTTTTATTCATCAGACGTTATTGAACAGAGGTTACGTGTTTTGGCTGAACACAATTCAAGATTTAAAGTCCGTGTTCCAATATCCTGGCGTACAATTTTATTTTGTTGGTCCTCAAATGCACTCTGGCATCAGGTTCTTTTGTTTTAATAACAAGCGATAATGTCTCGTAAATTATAATCTTTTCTAGTTTATTTTACTGTCAGCACAACTTTGAAGTTTGTGTTAGTATTCCACTCTAGTTGTGAGGTTTGGTGGTAGAAAGCAACCAGTTTATAGTTGCTATGCGCGTGTGACCGTAGCAGTCATGGGATGTCCCAAATTTTTGAATCAAAATAAGATTGTGTATGAGCTGCGCTGGAAGTGGATTCAGTGACGTTTAGCCTAACAGGATCATCACCTAAAAATTTGCTGTTATGGAATCTTCCTATTTTAAGAAGAGAGATCGTAATCCTTTTCTGTCTTTATTTCCTTATATGGTCGGCGAGCGACGGGTTTTTATGAAAATAAACTCGACCTCATAATTTTGCTGCCGTCCTATAGTATTATCCTCTTTACTTCTTGAATATCATCTTGGGTGCCGATGTTGTTTTTTCCTCTCAATTTACGCTCCTGATCAGCGTTATTTGAGGACTTTGTTGTCTATGAGAAGCACCTTCGTGGTGTCATACTTATTCATAAGTTGTAATACAACTTAAATACGATTGGTTAGACACGTAATTAAATCCACTCTATGTTCTTTACGTAATAGGTCCATCACTTTTTCCACTCATACGCCTATTTCTTACTTTGGTGTTACTTATTTTCCATTGTTTTTTGTGATATCACGATTCGCCCCAACTCAAACTGGTGCACTTTTGTACAGGATTTAGTGTTGCGATGGTTGTCTGTTACCATCTTCGCAACTAATCTCATGCCTAAAATGTGGAGAAAGCTAAAGGTAACCCCAAATAACTAGGAAAGTATCAGGCTATACGAATGTGAAATTTAGACCCATAACGATAATTTCACCTTTCCTCAAGTCAGTAGAAACATTATTGCTACTCTCACTTCAACTTGCACTAGTAAAACCCATTGGTCTGTGTCAGTTTTCTTACAAATGTAAAAGGAGCACCTTAGATACTGTTGTTGTTCTGAGTCATAATATAATGTTCAGTTTAGAAAGGGATAACAAATACGTTCGATGCTCTTTTCTGGACTATACCCCCTGCCTTTGACTGTATTCCAAGACAACTACTTAACAAGTTAACCAACGTCAACACTGACAGTTTGACAGTCAACTGGATAAACTTGATAAACACTGACATGCCATTTATTCTGGTGTAAAGTTTTCCTCTGATCTCTCTTGTTGTTCTCATGTTTTGTCATGGAAGAAAGTTTTTCGTCTAGCTTACTACATAAAGAGGCTACATGATTTCGGGATTATTCGACATTTGTCCTTACAACTTTTCAATTCTTGCATATTACCTATTATTCTTTACTGTTCTGCATTATTCTTCCTGGGCTTTTGAAAAAAAACTACTGTATTGCTGGGAGTATTGATGAAGACAGTTAGCAGGGTGTGTGCTGAGTCTTTTGAGGTTATTATTATTATGGTTGTGGATAGACATCCAAAATCTTGCAAACTCCTGGCAGTTTTCATCTTATCAGATGCTAACTATCCACTTCATTCGTATCTTTTTTCTTGTGTTTATTCTGGTAAAACGAGATGTCAGTACATCAGAATGCATGCACGCAAGCAAAGATGTGATGGCTCTAAAATACCTTATCTAGCAAACATGTGTGACGAACAGGTTGTTAGAGCTGATCTAGTCAACAAATTGGATTCTCAAATATGTTTCTAATTAAAAAGTTGTACAGATTCAAATCACCTTAAACACATTTCGTTAAATTCTGGGTAGTCTACCTACTTAACTTATGTATAGATGTATGTGGTTATCAGTCTCTTTCACTTTGCTTTCTTTTTTGTGAAATAAACTTGTTGAAATACCTTGTGTTGAGAATTCTGCATTATACCAAAAATGTAGTATTGAATAAAGCCATTGATAATGGTAATAATAATCAGTTAACTGACAATAAATGGAGCTGATAGTGATTAACAGAGAGGAAGTGCTCAAGGACAATAAGTTATGTTCTTTCAGGATACTGGAGCCTATGTGCACCATTGGTTTTGAATCAGGGTTTCCCGACTCCACTAGGTTGACTCCCCATGTCCACGAACCCGGTTAAAGCGCCGGACATTCGCTTTTCGTCCTCTCACTTTCGTAAACAACACCCCCACCACGAGAAGGCAATGAGTAGGAATTCGCTGGCAGAGGCAATATACGCGTGACCATGTGAGAGCATTGCAAGAGGAAGGGTGGACTCTCCTTACTGTCGACCGTACCAGAAAATTTGGGGGCGGGTCGCACAATAAAACCAAGGAACTATAATCGACGGCCTAAAACAACTCTTGATTTTTGGTTTGGGACAGCAAGTAAATCCATTGTTTATTTTACTTTGAACCAAGACTATGTTTTTATTCTTTGTTCTTTTTTACTTTCATTTTGGTCTGTAGTTTTTACTTTTCTTTTATCTCATCTATACTTAGGTGAAATATGTCAACTTGAATCAATGTGCTGCAAATTCAGGCTCTAAAGTGTTTTTTTACGTACTTACGGACAAATTATGGTCTATTCTTCATTGACAACCATATAAGGTAGTTGCTTATATGGATCATTGGTCGGGAAACTACAGTAAATAGCTATATTTTATCTCAAGTAGCAAATCGTTCAAGTACCTCAGGTTTCAGATAAATTCTAATCTGTTCAGTAAAGCTTCCGAGATTTCTGTGTAAAATTTCGGAGAAGTAGCATTAATAACTGAATAACACTTCCGGATAATGCACAAGACTGTCAGTGAAGCCAAGTAAGTGCGTTTTTTCCAACAAAACCTCTCGTTTTCAGAAGGATTGGTGCATTCTATCACTTTGATTCGTTTGCACAAAATAATCTTACGAATAGTAGGTTGTTTTTCGTTGTTCTTAGTACCAGATTTACGTTGGTTTTTTATCCTAGACTTCGAATCTACATGCTTCGAAGATGAAAGTAGAAAGCCTGCTGAAATCAGTATGCTATAAATATATTTTGCACAACTTTTTCAGTCGAATTTCCTGTCGTTGTATTAGATTCAGTTACGGGAACATTAGTAGATTCATTTCAAAGTTTCGTGAAACCAACAGAAAATCCGGAGCTAAGTGTATTCTGTTCTGATTTAACCAGCATTCAACAAGTACGCGTACAAATGATAAATGTCGATATTTTTCTTAGTGCGATGTAGAAGATGCTCCTACTTTGGCAGTTGTTTTGAAAAGGTTTGAGCATTGGCTTCGAAAAACCAAAGAAACTTTAGGATGTTCCTTTAAAGGTCAACCAGCTACAACAGCTATATTCGTAACATGGACTGGTGAGTTTGCTAAGATTTTTTGTTAGATGTGTGCTTTGCGTCAGTACTAGCCCAAATAAACCTACCTACATCATTGTTAGGCATAATTGATGTAAAAAGTGATGAGTGTAGTAATGATTTCTTAGTTTTGGTTTGACTGATAGTTTCATTGTTATGTCGTTTATTTTTACATATAACAAACACTAGCTGAAACTACGATTAGTTATTCAGTATCAGTTATCAGCTTTCTTAGTTTTTGAAGGGATAGTCGACTAACGAAAGAAGTGATCATATTGAAAATGAGTAAACAAACAGATGAAAAGCAGAAACCAGTTCAACCGATAATCTCAGCTTGTGAATTGCTATAAAAAGCGAATTCTATGTATTTGTACACAGCTGGGATCAAATTCTAATACATTAAATTACATCCAAATTACTTACACTTAGATTATGATACTGATTTTTCAAGTTTTTAATCTTCAACCACCATTAAAAGTTTTGCGTACTTGTGATAGGTATCATCCTTCTAAATCATTTCGAACAGTTTGTTCTTTATTTCTCCCTAAGTCTTGAGTTCCATCAGGCCCACAATTTCTTATTCTTGGCTTTCATCCGTTCTTTTTTGGGTTTTGTTGTCTATGCTCAGTTCCTTTATACTATCCACACTACTTCTTTGATTTGAATTACATACAGTACATTTACAATACAACTTGATGACCATATATTGATCTACGTACCATACCATCTGGACTATGTATTGTGTTAATATTGGTATGACTTCTGTGTGATGGATGGAATAGACCTTGAATCCTAGTTTTGTTTCCTCTAGTTAGGCAATTCTGACATAGTTGTAGCTATAAAACTCGTTTCTAGCTAGCTTAGTGTTTTAGTGATGTACCGAATCATAAGTCTATGGAAGTATACCTGGTAACTATGCGAATGAAATGTCCAACCGGTTAATCCTATGGCTCTAGTTGTTCAGAGTCTGTTCAAACAAGCCTTTAGTTCTGCATCACCAGTTGAAAGCATATTTTACCTACTACACTTTACCTGAACAATATTCTCAAATTATCTACGATAAATATCATATACAACCTAGTATACTAAGTAACTTGAAGTTACTGAGTTATATAAAAGTTATTTCTAGAACCGTACACTTTAAATGTAATATCACTGAACAAATCAATGACAACGGACGCAACGGAATAATATGAGTTCATTTACGTAATTGAGTCACTTCAGATGCTCGCAACCTGGGAACAATCGTGATTGCTAAAATCAGTGTTTATTCTTTATATAATATAAATGAATATTGGTGAAAATGTATTGAATATCGATTTATTTATTTATTTAAACATATCAATATTGGTACAAGGGGGCCCAAAATATATATGCGCCACACAAAACAATGAGAATGGGAAGAGAAAAGAGGAGGTAAGGTGCGTATAAGGAAAAGAAAAGATAAAAAGAACAATAACGACCACAGCTTAGTGTAAGGTTGTGTAATAATAATAATAATAGTAATAGTGGGGGAAACGGAAAGGTACAACCAGAAAAATTCTTTCAGTCAAGGAAGATACGACCACTTTTTATGAAAAAAGTAAAAGAAGGTTACAGCAGGATCGCCACTGTGTTGCACCATCTCCCGAACCCCAGACAGGGAGTCGTGAAGGACAAGCAGAAGCCTTTGCAGCTTTCTTTCATACCACGACACCATATTATACACTGACCACCACTCCGCTTTTTCCAACCAGTCCCAGTGTCGGCAAATAATGCACGGCGTGGAATTCTCTGGGACGACATTCGTAGAACATGTCCAAGCCACCGAAGTCGGTGTTTCAAGATGGTGACACCAATTGCACTATCGTCTCTGTGCCCGAACACACGATGCCGAACCTCTGCATTACTGACATGGTGTTGCCATTGGATGTCAGCAATCCTTCGGAGACAACGATGATCGAACACAAAGAGTCGTCTAACGTCCTCAACTCGGATAGGCCAGGTTTCACAAGCATAGAGCAAAACTGCTCTCATCGACGCGTTGTAGATCCGACCTTTTACAGACAGACTAACATCACGAAGGCGTCAAAGATGACCCAGATTGGCGTGAGCCGCTCTGGCTTTCACTATACGTGCATTGATCTCATCACTCACACCCCCACCAGCACTTATGCAGCTATCTAGATACACGAACTTCTCGATTACTTCTATCTGCTCACCAAGGTCGAGAAGTCTTTCTCGGGGCAACAGATCCACACCGCCATTACTTACATCCATCAGAGCTGTTTCCAGAATGTCGTCGATGGCAAAGTTGAAGAGGACTGGTGAGATTGGGCAACTCTGCCTAACCCCACTGCTCGAATGGAACAATGGAGAAAGGTGGTTGTATGCCCTCACTCTGCCTGAGGTGTTTGTATATAGGGCTTTTAGGATGTTAATAAACTTCTCAGGCACACCCTTCTTCAATAGACAATCCCAGAGAACAGTCCTATCCAACGAATCGAAGGTAGCCCTGATGTCAAGAAACACTACGATTGTTGGTCTGTGATAAGTATGACAGTGTTCTAACATTTGGCGAAGGGTGAAATATGGTTAATACATCCTCGACCAGAACGAAACCCAGCCTGCTCCTCGCGGGTCAATCTTTCTCGGGTTTTGAACAACCTACGAAGTATGACGGAAGCCCATAGCTTGGACGCAATCGGAAGTAGACTTATCCCCCGATAGTTGTTACACGAACGACGTGAACCCTTTTTAAAGATAGGGACAACTATCGACTCATTCTATGACGTTGGTACACTCTGTAGTTCCTAAACCTTTGTAAACGACGTCGTCAGTTCTTTAGTCAGAAAGTCACCACCATCTTTAAAAAGAGCCGGAGGTAAGTCATCTGGGCCCAGTGATTTGTAGCGATTCACGAGTTGGAGTTCCTTGCGGACTTCCGCCTCATTTGGTGGATCAGTCGTCACCGTCCATGGAGGACAGGACAGTTTGACCGATGTTGCCGGAGCAGCAGGCCAGTTGAACTGCCCTTTGAAGAATTCTGCCCATCGTCCAAGACGTCGATGGATGTTGGTGATTGGCATCCCGTCATCCTCACAGATTGTTTCGCTCACACCAGACTTCTTGCTGCCAGTGGCTCAGATGAGTTGGAAGAGCTTTCGGTAATTACCAGATGCAACTGTTGCTTCCAACTCATTAGCACGCTCCGACCATCAGGCGATGTAATCAGTCTGAAATAAATATCGAAGAATTATAAGTTTTCTATCGCATTTATGTGTTACCTGCCATGAAAATTTTTAAAAATTTCAAGGACATGAAAACAAGGTTCGAGGAAATAGAAATTAGTATCAAAAGTTACTATAAAAGTGGATAGGTTAGAAAAGTAAAATGAGTAAAGCTCAAAATATGGCACAAGAATGAAGAAAAGGAATTTATAACTGCCAGTATGAAATAAGATATAACTCAGTCAAATATTGGAGATTAAAATCACCTGGGTAATTCAACACTGACAATTGTATTCTGTTGAAGTTCAGTTTCGACCCTTCGATAACTATTGCTTTGGCTAAACGTAATGAATTTGAAGTTACTTTTGCATGTCAATTATTTCGAAAGATGTTAAAATAGCAACATTGTGTCCATTATCAAACAGATGGTGGGTGACCGCTTTGTCGAAAATATGTTGACATTTTAGTATAAATTGCTGTAGAATGTGTTCCGAGTTGCCTACAAGAACCTTCCTTTCTCTTCCGATGTAATCACTTTGACACGTACATGTAAACTATTAAACATAATTGGGGGTAATATATGTTAATTCGTAGGTTGTAAGCACCTGAAAAAGATCCACTATAGCGCTTACACTTTAGTTTGTTGACAGTTAATTTTTTCAAGCCCTTCAATTAACTTGTCTAACAGACTGTTATTCAAACAGTAACAATTTGTCCATGTCTTTGTGTTATTATTATTATTATTATTATTATTGTTTTTATTATTCAATGCTGTATTTCTGGTACGATATAGAATTCGCGGCGTCAGTCAGTCAGTCAGTAACAACGTAGAACTTCGTACGTACGTACATCAGTTCGAGTTGCCACACCACATTAGCACAGAGATGCACTTGTCGATTCAAATCCCGTAGTGGTAGAGGTAATAAGAGTATAAGCAGGAATCAGGAAGATTAGTGTTTGGAGATGTTATTTAAAGAGTATAATCCAGTGAAAGAAATTTGGAAAGAGGAAAAAAGGGACATGAAGAATTCAGAAGATTAGAGTTTGGGAGAACACAGAGAGTGGATGCACCTGCGCCATTGCAAACGATTTTGAGCCATGTCATTCAGGGTCTCTAACCATCGGTTGCTGTCATCTCGCGGTCCCCAACCAGGTAGTCTACACCTACCAACATGACTCAGTTCACTTGTCAGTGACTTCATGGACTTGTGCCATGTTTTGGTTTGGCCGCCCCTAGCTTTCTTCCAACCTACTCCTATACCACTGAACATAGCACGTCGAGGCAGTCGGTCGTTCGCGGCGGAAAGTATTTCAACAAGTTTCTGTTTCTTATTTCTTGATCAATCCTGACGATAAGTGTTGAGTGACCGCCAGTTAGATGTAAGCATTTTCAAGAATCAACATCTGAATAATGTTCATTCTTTCCAATTCATATTGCTACCAGCCACTACGTCTCTGATTGTACTTTTTTGTAAGTTGTACAGCGAAAGGTCATAAACGCTCCTGAATAGGTTATGTGATTAACAAACATCATAATGTGTTGAAACAAACAAACGTCAGGTAACTTGTTGAAATATCTAGATGGCAGGAACAGGTAGCCCAGATATTCAAGCGGACCACGAGATCATATCGTTCGTTGTTCTTACACTATTCAAATTTATAAATGGGTAATATTGTGTTCCTCCATGTAATATTCATTTTATACTGTAAGTTAAATGAAACGTTTAACATTTTATTATTTTTTCTTCATGAACTCAAGACTGGGACATAAGTACATGCTTATGGGATGAATGTAGACGCAAAAAACTACCTCTGCCTGGTGATATGCTGAATCGTATCGATTTAAAGGCAATATTTCAAGTGAGTGGTATGTTTCTGTTTATGCCTTGTATTAAAAAACCTTACTGAATATTTAAAGTGCTTTATTAAAGCGATCTTATTTTATACAAATTGGCTCTAAAATAGAAATAAAAATATGTAATTTAAACAATTCAGTTACTTCTAACTATTAAGGCAAACCAATATATTTGATGGTGGTAAATGTAAATGAACATAAGCATAATTATTTTATGAGTAATATTTGTTTCAAGTAATAAACCAGTAATCAATGCTAACTAGATTAACGTGGGAAGTAGATGAAAATAAAGTGTTACTCGTTTAACATTTAATTCCGTTAAATACCCTTGGCCTTAGACCACACTATTTATCCAAGTTTATGGTGACAATTCGGCAGCTCAAAATGAAGTACGCAATAGAGCGTTCATACCTGTAATCCATTGGTTGAAAACAAGGTGTTTCTACCACTGAACGCAATAGATAATTCCCTATTGACATGAAATTACACCTTAGTAAAACTTTGAATAAGGGTTGTACGGGAAGTGATTATGAATATAACTGCTACTGTCGTAACAGAATAATAGGAATTCACTTGTATCATGGATTCTGAACAATCGGTAGTGTTGGTAAAAATGACTATGGGGCTTGAAACAGAGTTACGTAATAGGATAAACATAAGTCAATCATGACCCCATGATATATGTAGCGAGTTAAGCCCAGTTAGGTACAACTAAATTATATCATGAAATGTTAAAGAGTTGAGTTGGAAAATTGTGTGGCCGTATATTGAGTCAAAAAGACATAGTTGCTTCATTTTTAGCACAATTTATTTGTGAAGTATCTTATAACTATAGCTTCAGCATGTTTAAGAAAACTTGGAAGGTTTAATGGTGTTTATCTACGCAATATTCTGTGTGAGTCAGATTTGACCGACAAGTTAAACTACTAGACATCCCTTTTTGCTCTGAAGTGTAGACATTTTGAAATCTGTCCAAACAACCCAATTGAGTTCACTTTTTCTAGTCTACCAATGAGACTACTTTGGAAAATGGAAGTCAATTGATACCCAAAATCGCTGGAAACATAAGAAGTTTACTTATTTGCATTTCATTAGAATGTTGTTTTTCCTGTCCGTCATGCTTTGTACCAGCTGTATTTCCGATTGATTCACTAAATCATTTGTTAACTTAATTCTGTGTGCAGAAATTTGATGATACCTGTAAATTGGTCTTCTAACTAATCTGGCTATATATTCATCTATACAAGTTTTAGACATTCGGTCTTGTGAGTATGAATCAACTATAACATCTGGATTAGAATGAACTTAAACGTAAGAACTAAACGAGACTAATGATCTTATCACACTTATACAGCTAAAAATGAAAAAAGTATTAGAACGAACTCAAATGTATAATTCAGTAAATCGGCTGTATTCGATAGTTGTGGTATTTTTTTCTTGAGGCACTAGTAGATTATTTCTTTATAATAAGTTACTGAATAGTCAGTTATGGACTAAATCAGTTACAGTTTATCAAATTTAGACCTGCCGATCAATCAAAAATAATTTTTCATAATAATAAGTGTATATATACATTTCATTAGTCTATGTTTTTTGGTATATAGTAAATATTCCTTTCCCCACTAATATCTCTCATTTTGTTGAGTCTCACTAGTTGTGTGGCACCAGCAACCTTGTGGGATGGGGTGGTCTTAGAGGTGTACATTAGTTTAATGGCTCACTATTGGTTACCTCATCCTCAGCATGGGTTTAGAAATTCAACTTTAGCCTTCGGTTTAGTCAGCTATGTTTATGTAGTTCTCATACAGTAAACATGACACAAGGCTTTGTGAATAAATCCCTAATTAGCTGTTCACGTGCATCCATTTTTGCTTCCTAAAACACAATTTTCAGGTACGAATTCGAAATTTCATGAAATTTGAAGTGTATAAATGTCATGAAAAAAATGTGTTCAGAAACCAAACTCTAAGTTCCTAATGTTTTAATCATTTCTAGAAATAGGTAGATAAACTGTTGAATCTAGTTTAATGTGATAAGCAGTTGGCGTTCATTCATTACGTATGCATGCCACGATAAAAGAATGTTTTCTTATTATTCTTAGTATTTAATAATAATTTCTGCTGAATTTTTTATTTTATTTGAACACATATATATTGGTACAGGAGTGCGCCAAATATATATGCGCCACACAATTTCAGTTCATTAATTGCGTGTGGGCTGCGATACTGCCCGGGTGCCCAGACCGAAGCAGGTGGTTATCTTAGGGGGCCACACCCCGAGCCTTTGACCTAAAGGTCTAACCCACAAGGCAGTGGAGCATCGTAAGGAGATGCAGTCCCATGGTAGCCGGTGACCGAAAATTGGTTCATACGCCATTTGTTCCCGCAGGATACTGGTGCCCATGTGCACCATAGATTTGGAATCCGGTTAAAGCGCCGGACATTCGCTTTTCGTCCTCTCATTTTCGTAAACGACACCCCCGCCAAGAGAAGGCAGTGAGTAGGACTTCCCTTGCAGAGGCTGTATACGCGCGGCCGTGTGAGAGTATTTCAAGAGGGAGGGCGAACCCACCCCGGATAGCTCAGTGGTAGCGTCTCTGACTGTGAAGCTGGATGACACGGGATCGAATCCGCCAGGGAGCACCAGTTCCCTCAAGATTAAAGGGATTTCTGCTGAAACCTATTCATAAGTTTGTTTTACTTACTATAAATTCAAAAAATGTCATTAATATAATTCCTGAGTGGTTTCAGCTGTCACCTTTCTACATTGAATACATTTTTTCGTCTTATGGCCTGTTGATTAGCACATGACAAAATCGCCAATCAGAACACCAACTTATACGGCCTTGGCACTGTGCCAAACCAATGACACGTTAGCTAGTACGAGCAGCCTAGAGTTAACTCTAAGTCTTTATTGATTCTTCTCGCCTAGCCTTGTGCGTTCGAGTCCAGAACACAAATCTCAGTTTCCTCTGTATGAATCATATGTTTCAGATATACTTAGTTTATATACAAGCAAACCAGACAGCATTATACCATAAGACAGAAAGTAACAATTGTACAAGATCAAGTCAAAAGTGGCTATGAGTGTGAGAGACTGTAACTAACAGATTGGAAATAAATTAGAAATAGTAAATCCTTTAATAGTAGTCAATAAGTCAAACGGAAGTTCTTAATATAAGGAATATGAATATACATATACCATATTTGCTAAATAGTTATCCAACAGGAATATATGTAGAAAAAGTCCATGAAAAATTCCTTGCAGTTACTATTCATTTATTATTCGTTAGGATATAATAAATTTTAATTATTTTTTAAGGCAAAATATTTTTAGAGAAATTTCAGTTCTAATTTTCTTAATATCAAACTGTCAGATTTTGCATCAAGTGGAGTAACTTGGTGATTATAAAATAATCCAGCTTTGGAATCCGTTGATGAAAATAAAAAATCTTTGATTGATAGGTTTCTAAATGTAATTTCGAACTGTAAATAGTTCTGTCCGTTGATCTACTGGCTCACTGTTCTGTTATTCAATGGTCATCATTTTTTACTTTAATGTTTTCAGTATAACATGACAATCACCCAGTTCCGTCGATAGTAAGCATGTTAATCCAGAAATCACAACTTTTTTTAAACCTTATGGACTCATCTCAAAGCAAATCAGTAGTGAGCGTTTGGTTATATTTCTTGGCTGCAAGGCTTTTTGCGGGTACTCCATGTTGAAAAAACTCATACTAAGACGGAACAGCTGTACAGTACTACCTAGTTGTCTATGTCACCACAATTGATAACATTCCCCCAATAAGAAGTACTTAAATATACAGTCTAACTTGATTAAAATTCTCAATTCGTTACACTGATCCAACCGGTGTGTATGGAAAAGTAAATAAAGGTACTGGAGATAATTTCGTCCATTCATGTAAACAATTTTTACGAAATCTGCATACTACTTATGAAGCTATATTCTTTCCATTACAATTATTCGTCGTATAGACCTAAACCAATTTTAAGAATCACAACCTGAAAGATGAAAGGGATTCGTAACGAGTACGTCTCCATTAAATAATTAAATACTAAATTCTTTCTCTGTCGTAATTCATGTTATTCATAACTATTCCTCTTGTACTTTTTGTGCTTAGCAGTGGCTTGGTTCTCATAAAGTTGGACGGAAATGGCGAGGTGGTTTAAAGGATGCACTTAATTTAGTTGGATTACACTTTGAAGGTCGGCCACACAGAGGAATTGATGATGCCAAGAATACAGCTCGACTACTTTTTCACCTACTTTCAAAAAATGTTCTCAATTTGGCGACTTCATGAAAGAGTTCTTTTGTAGGTAACTTTATAAGCACAAATATATTTTTGATACTCTGCCAGTAATTCCTGCCAATTACGGAGTAGTAATTTGATAAAGTGAGATTTATGAACTAATATTATACGCAGATAAACAATCTTCTGAGAATTTGCTGTCCGGTTTAAAAAACATTTTCTAGATTCAACTTGCACTTTTGGTTAAAATAAAATACTTACTGATATTTTTATTTAAAACAATCTTATGAACTCAGTACTGTATCCTGTATTTCATATAAAAATAACTGATTTTCCCTTCCATTTAAAAATTAAAATCACAAATATATAGTGAGTTTTACGATATTGAGTTTGTAGCGGTATCGGTTCTCAGCCACACAATCCTTGAGGTCAGGCACTCGGCAAGTGAGAATATCTACACTAAACACTGAAGAAGTTCAAATATAGTGAGCACTAGAGGACAGATCCAGGACAGGATGGCTCGGCCATACAGGCAAGATTACTGTGTAACTTAGGCCTTCATATCCTATCCCCACTTCAAGCATGTCCTTCGAAAATGCTAACCATGTTGCCGATTGTCACGATAAAGCAAGGTTGTATGGACAAGAGTCTGACTTCGACGTGAGGTCTGGTATGCTAGATAGTTTCGTCATGTCACGTCCACAATCCCGGAACGGGATTATTATTGTAGTAGCAAAGATAAGTGCCCTAGTACCAACCTGGATATTAGTTTCACAGATCAATATGGGGATACTGACATTTACTGGAGTACTTTTACACCTCAATGTCATGGTTTCTATCGAGTCTGATATTTATATCAACAGGTATATCTAACCTAGAAAAACAGTCTAAAACCTCAGGGAAACTTCCTTCCAGGAAGTGCATAACTCCGAACTTCAAAAAGAATGTTTACACTCCTAAGGGCATTCCAAGTACATCCATAGATTACAGTTGCGAACCACAATATGACGACCTGTGAATTAAGATAATTCCTAAGAGAGTTTGCTTGTCTGAAATGGCGAATGGTTTAAGACGATCCCTGCCAGGTATACTGATTCAAGGTCAGTGAAATGTCGATGGGCCCCATCGAAATGATCCGGCAGTCGAGTTACTGGATATCGAGCATTCCACCGATCCTCTCCAGAGCCAAGGGCAACCAGAGCGCGTCAATTAATCGCATGCCATGGACTGGCCCATGTAGCAGTGATCGCACTCTGCCCCTTGTACCTACTCCTACTAGTATATCTCTGTTACAACATCGGTTATCAAAGCAGACATAGGCTCTGAATACGACGAAGGAGTAATCCCCGTCAGGTGCTAACTGTGAGGTGTGACTTCGATGTTAGCTTGTTTGTCACACCATCCCCGCCTAACTTAACACGGACCACCGAAGTCAGTGATCTACGACGTGATAATAACACCAATCCAACAATTTTAAAATCATAACTGGATTCCGATTGACTATCGTTTTACGCTGTCCTACTGAGCGGGATATTATAAACTCTGAAGAATCGTGACAAGCAGAATTTTCTTCGTCCACTCAGCTCATTCTGACCCTGTGACTGAGATGAAGAAAAGGATGGTTTGTAGTGGTATTGGACCATAACCACACAATCCTCAAAGCTGTCTACTCAGAAACTTGATATTCAATATTTAACGCGGAGAAATACCTAACGATGGAGAAGGCAGGAACAAGAAGTTGAATTAATTGGATTTGATCGAATGGCATGGCTTGGCCCTGCAGGCGTGGTCCTCGTTGAATGTTATCTTATATCTTTTATTCATATTAAATACATTGTACTATCTCTAGCCTAAGCTCGTTCTACATCATGTATTGGTGATTGTTACGAGACGAGTTAGTGTAGACGGTGGTATGACTCCTAAGTAAGATCTTATGGATTAGGCAGTTATATCATGACAAGTCCACAATTTTAGGATTAGGTCTATTATTAGCGCAGTACTAATATCATAGTAGACCATAATTCTACAGGTTTAAGAACAAATATTCGCATCATCTGTAAAGATACGTGCACAAGCATCGGCAGTGTGAGCGATTATTTCAACCAAACTAGAAGACTTTAGTTGTGTCTTACTGCGGCAAACTGAGGGAATAGATAGCAGAGATCGTCCGCTACAACTTTCAATATCAGTCTACTGAAGCTGAAAAACTACTATGTGACTGTCAAATTTATGTAACCCTACATCCAGACCATGTAATGACTATTTAACTTCATAAATTCTCCGGAGAACAAACAGAATTTTACGAGGTAAACTATTTCTTCAAAAGCAGTTAATGTAATGGGATTACACTGCGTCATATGTCAGAACTCTGATCACTAGTATTTAGGAACTTGACGGAGTTCCATAGACCACTTAATATTGAGTGAACGGCCTCATAAGATAAGTCTGATCAATAATTTAGTCAGCTCTCAGTGGTAATTCATTGACAACCTTCTGGTATGGATACCCTCAAAACCTGCCAAAATTCCGACAGAAGTAGACAGTATTCCTGTCATTATTGCAGAGATTTCGTAGAAGACTGACATCCATCTGGAAAAATGTTTTAGAATATTACGCCAGTATAAACAAAGACAGCATTTCTCAGTAACGTTAACCAAAATATTAGATGGTGACTGTTGCTTAGTTCATTGGTGGCCACTGTTTTGTCCCATTTTGATCATTCTTTTGTTACTGGAATTCATTCTTAACCATCCGTTTTTGGATTATCATAGCAGTACGAGAACATTGATCTAGAGCATTGTCATATTGATGTCTTTCCAAACTGTCAAACCATCTGTACATATGACTGATGATTATGTCGACCTGTCCATAATTCATTAACGTAGAAAAGGAAAGTCGGGGGACCTTATATAGTACGTCGTGGCACGCTAACTTTTGAGATGGTGTAGTTTTGTTCTCTGAGCTGTAAGTTTGTTCTGATGATGCCGTTCGGAAGAACGATAAAAGCTCCACGACCAAACGATTCAGCTCAGAGAACGAAACTCCACCAACGCTAACTTTTACTGGTTTCCGTCTGAACAGAGTTACCTTCACTTCATAACAGTTCTATCACACAAATGATATTTATAAATCAGTTGCATTTCGCCTGTTATTCTGAAACCAAATAACTTCCGTAATTCATAAGTGCAGCGTCTTATCGAAAATCTTTCTGAAATATAGGACTACTACCTCGACAGTCAGACTATAAACTTCGGCTTCAAGACACTTCTCACACAATAATTAAATACAAATAATAAGGTTGGTTCGTACGTAATCCATGTCGTTCCACAGCTAAACGGTTTTTCGGTACTACACAACTAGGTGACTTGTCTTACATAATGCTTTCTTATGTATCATCAACTATCCTAGTCAAATTAACTGACCAGTAGTTAGACATGAGATCTCCATTTGCATTCCTAAAAATAAAGACAACAACATCATCTTTTTATTTTAACGTGAGAGCTTTGTTATGAGTTGCCTGAGCTGTATCTTCTTGAAAACTATGCAATACAATTTTCTGTGCTTTTAGTTTAAATGTACTAATGCTGTTTATTTAAAGCAGCGACTATTCAATATGCTTCCCGATGATGGAAAATAAACGTTTGTTTTCGTGCACAGTATTTTTTACCACATTCGGATTTTGTTCGAACTTCATCTCATTTGTATCACCTTACTGGATTCAGTCAATTCCAGAGGCTAACAGCCAGTTCCAGAGAATAGGTCTTTGGACTGTTTGTTTTGATGGATATATGCGGCCGGCGCTGTATGACAAGGCATATTTCGGATGTTACTACATTTATTATGTAATATATGACCGTATAAGAGATTGGTTAAATCCAAGTAGGTGCTTTATGCTCCATCATGTATTTTGTTCTCAAATAGACAAGTATACTTATTTACTTGTCTATTATAGTAGACTCCTTGATGACTAAAGCCATCGATGACTACTCGAGTAAGATGATTTTATCTCAAGCACCCCTCTCATATCATAGTGGATGTTAACAAGTGTAAATGATCATTATTGGAGGAGGCCCAACTTTTCTATCTATTTCAATCTTCAGTAGTCGAAGTAGGGGGGTGGTCAATAGACCTATATTAATCCTTAAAATTTGTTGTGCTATGAAGACGTAACCTTGCTTTCAGTGTATCAACAGGTGCCGATATTACGTGTTTTGGTAAAGAATTCTAGTAATTCACTACTTAGTGTGAGAAACGGAACTCCAGTGATTTCATCTCGGTTTCTTAACTTTCTTAGAATGTTCTCTCAGATCATCAGTCCTAGATAGAGAGAAAACACAAGACATATTAGTGCCGAATTCACCGTTCAGTATACGTCAGGTCAGTATTAGGTCACTCCGTAACCTGCGGTAATACAACAGAAATACGTTGGGGCGTCTCAATCTGTCTTCACAAAATGGGTCAGAGAGACCTGTGGCGGTAAATAAATCCCCAAAATCAGTAGCTGTGTAAATCTTTGACATTTGATGCTGACCATATTGTTTTTAATGGGCTCACCTAACTGAAGGCTCTGGGTCACTCATCCGCACCAGATCACGAGTGGGAACGCTGTGCTCTACTTCTACAACAGCTAGCCAGTTTGGATCAGTCGCCTCTCAACATGTTGATAACTTATCAAAGATGCCATCGAACCCCTTTGCTTCTGACTTATGATTTCACTGGGTGGGCACGTTTCGATTATAGAAGGTGTTACTGGTTGAGGTGTTGTCAAACTCTAAATAGTTGTGTCATCTTCAAACTGTTGGTCACGCATTCTAGCACATCCACCTCATACCTGATGTAAGGACTCGCCGCTTGGATCCCATATTCAAAATGTGGTCCCACGAAAGTCGGGTATAATACTCCGAATATTTCTTCGTTTAAATAATGAAATGACTTACGAACAGCTCATAAGACCCTTAAGCCTTTGGCAGCGGCAGCCTTGCAGTTACTCTTAGCCTTGCGGGCGTTGTTTATTGTGATTCCTAAATCTTTATAGTTCATTACTTTAGGTAACACAACTCCATATGTTTTGTAGTGATATAAATCATCTCGGTTACTTATTTGCACCACTACACCCTTGCTAGAGTTAACTTCTAATGACCATTTACCCATCCATTCGACCCGTGAATTTAGGTCATCCTGTAATATTATTCTGTCTGATATACTGTATACAGGTCTCACAAATCTTTATGTCATTTGCAAAGAGTAAAACGGGTGACTTTGATAGAGTTGGTAAGTCATTCGCGTCCGGTAGAAAACGAAGGAGACTGAGAATTGTAGTTGGGGAACCCTACTTTTAACAGACTCCCATCAACCCGTATTCACTGTTTTCTGTCATTGAGAAAGTCACTTATCCAGCTTATGATTTCATAATGGATCCAAAAACTTTTAAGTTTTAGTTTAAACCTGAGGCGAGAAACCTTTTCAAAGGCCTTACTCAAACATATGAATACTACATATACGGGAATATTTCTATCTTTCGCAACAACCTGATATTCTTTTGCAATGAGCAGATTTGCTAGGCATGATAGGCCTTCTCTAAAACTATTTTTCTACGTGGCCAAAAAATAATTGCCTTTCGCATAATTTAGAATAGATATCCGAACAATCTTTTCCATAGGCTTGACAACTATACTGGTTAGACTGACAGATCGACAGTTACTAACCACGTTTTTACCCCCTGCTTTATAAACCGGACTGATAATTGCGTCTTTTTAATCTCTTGGCAGTTTATACTGCCCCAAAGACATCAAGCAATATTGCCAGAGCTTCAGCAATTATATCCTCCAGAGCTTTTATAAACCTATAATGAATACCGTCAGGACCACCGAATTTATCTGGCTTGAGATGTAAAAGTGACCGTAAGACAGCCCCTTTCTCAATAACCGGACGATCTGTCGACCAGCCGCTTTTATTATATATAATTGTTGATCTTTTATGATCATCGGTGAGAAACCCTGCTAAAATATTTTGATAAGCCTTCAGCTTTTGCAATATCATTTCTTGCCAATATCAATGGACTTTCTAGTACCAAAAGTGATTGCATCCCACCACTTTTCTGAATTCGCTTCTTTATATATGGGATCAATGTTTTCAGAATATTTTTGCAATCCAGGACGTTGTTTAGCCTTACTTATCAACTCTTTGAATGTGTCCTTAGTTTTACAGTAGGTGTGTCTGTACTGTTCAGAATCTGTAGAGATTATGGTATTCTAATGCTTTATTCACATTCAAGATGTTTTTTGACCTCATTAGTTATCCACGGTGAGCGGTTATTAGGTCTATGTGGTATTAAGAACTGTATAAATGATGACGTAACGAAGCTAAGCGTACCTCTAAATATATATCATTTTCCTTCAATTGATGATCTGGTACTTACCGACCAGTCTGTTGTTGCCACGCACTCTTGTTCGGCTGTTATGCTTGCTCTCGACACGTTTGAGCGAAGTCTAACCAGATCATATACTATATCACGAGCCCTAAACATGAATGACAAAGCGTCATGATCGCTATTTGCTGACAGTGAGAGAAGTTTTATATAGGCAAAATCCTTGGTCTTATGAGCTATCACTAAGTCTAAAGAAGAAGATTCTTGGTTTAAGCCAAGACTTTTGGGTTCGAATACACACTGTACTAAAGGTAGACCATTACATTCATCAGGAGAATACTGTTGAAAGAGTTTCCTACCGTGAACATCTCTGTCCAACTAGTATCACGTCCATTCGGATATCCTAATATCACACGTGTTATTTTTACTTCATACTATAATGCGCTCAAAAGTAAAGTCACCAACTAAGCAGATTGGCTAAGATAGATAACATCGAGCATAAGTGTACAACCTTCAAATGTGAGTTCACAGGTAAGGACTCCACAAGTTCGGTGAGAAACAAAATAGATTTTCGCTGGTAACAGTAATACCTTCTTACATTCAACTTATGTAAGTCTAATATGAACTAAGCTAGGGTTTACCTGATTAAGATTTTTAAGTAGCAGAAATAGAGATCCAACGGGCTGACCAGTACTTACTCAAATAACACCAAGTGATAAAAGTGGCAGACTTGTTGGTCGGCTTTAATACTTGTGGCTCTTTTCACAGTGATGATTCAGCTTTTTTTTGAAGGCGCTAACCGATGGGGCTGACTTAACATCTCCTGGCAAGGTGATCCAGTTATTGATAGGCTAAACAGAGACGCACCCTGAGTTTATTCGATCGCGGTATTCAAACCTTCTGCAGATAGCCTTGTTTATGTTGAGGCCCACTGATACAGAGGCTTCTGCTCCATTGACTGTCTTGACCAGCATTTATTGGAGTGTATGGGATAGAAGAGCTAGATCATATGTGAAGTTCAAATCATCTAGTTGCATGCAAGCTGTCCATTGTATTCCGTGCTTCTTCTGTGATATGGAGGTCTTCATAATCCGGTCAAACAATATAGTGAAGAGAAAGAGTAAACAGCCTTGCCTGACACCGGTCTTCACATGGAATGCATCTGTCAGCTGTCCGCTATGCACCACTTTGCAGTGTAGTGTGTCGTATGAATTTTGAGTGGCGTTGACGATTCACTCATCTACTCACACCATAGTGTCGAGGAAGGTTCCATATGGTTCTCCTATCCATGCTGTCAAACGCCTTCTCATATTCAATGAGCTCCACTCAACTGATTGTTCAACGACGATTCGTAGAGTTGTGATTTGGTTTGTGTACGACCGATCCTTACGGAATCCAGCCTGTTGATCAAAAAGTTAAGCGTCTACTGAGCCTTTCATCCGGTTCAGCAACACTCTGTTTAAAACCTTTCCGGAACTGAAAGTAACCTGATTCCTCTGTAGTTTGCACATTTGCTCAGATCTCCTTTGTTTGGTATATTGACGAGGTATCCTTCTTTCCAGTCTATCAGCACTCCTTTCTGTTCCCAGATATCCCCGAATAGAGCGTGGAGCATGTTCACAGTTACCTTTATATCTGACTTCGGTGCTTCAGCTGGTATGTTATCAGGTCCGTAAACAAGCATAGTTATTTTAAAGCAAGCTAATCAGTTAGAAAATGCTGATTTGAATTCTTAACTAGGTCACTAAATGGGAAATATATTTTCTATGCGAAAACTGAGTTACATCTACGTACTAAATATGTAAAGAACGGACAATTGTGTTTGAAAATTCACAATATAACCCAGGTTGACCACAAGTGTTATCAAAGCTAATTTATCTTTTTTCGTTAAAGGCTTTTTTTTATACTCGTCTCTCTTCATATCAGTCGCTTAAGAGCTAAAAAGTAGTGATAAGATATAAACGGTTTACGTTCGTTATGATATGGGTATTTCGTTAGTTATATCTATGCTTATCAATTTATAAGATAGTTTATTCATCGCCAAGACCGGTACTAATCAATTGTATCCTCGTTTTTTAGAGCTATACAATATTTGTAAATCTTAGCTATTGACAAAAATATTATAAAGTAAGTAAAGTTGCGTATGATAAATCCAAAATAGGCTACACTTTTCGAAAAGTGCAATTTGTACACTTTTATCGTGAGTTCTATCTTGATTTCATCAGAAACTGTATAAAGTTAGAATTTCAGCGTTTGTTATGATTAGATTGATTAATTATCATGTTTGAACTTTAATTTCCTATGTGATTGTTCTATACCCTTTTTAATTATAACTAAGTAATTTTTCTGCATCAAACGCTGAAGTGCAAGTAAAAGGTTAAAGCAATATGGATCTAAAACTATCCTATCTCAAGCTTCACACACTCTGTAACTGTATTAGATTGTTGACATGTTTTGCTGACAGCTAATTATTATTTATATCCCTTTTTTAATAAATTGACAGTATGGTTATATACAATACAAGTTACCTCATCCTGTGGAGTTTTGGTACATTTTTTGGTAACGTTTATCGTTCTGTGTCAAGTAACCGGTGCAATTTCTAAATCTGACCTCAAAAGTCTAAAATTTATTGCATCAGGACATTTCTTCACAAGTAAGTATTATGTGACTTTTTTGTATCTGGATAACGAAAATAAAAACTGAAATTAAGTCGTACAGTTATCACCTGACTACTTATTAGATAGATTACCTTTGGACTGTAGACGTAGTGGTTAGGGATTTACTACCAGATCATTTGCTAAACATAGACACCATGGTTTAGAATAATTAGTTACAAAAAACAGGTTTCATTAGCATTACAGAATATCTGCTATGAAATACATTGTATTCGGGTGTGCTTACGCTTCGGCAAGAAGATGAAAGCGAACTAATAATAGTTTATGTTGTGAAATTTACTAACTTATTAGTGATCTTGCCTCTCGGTTGAGTATTTTATAACCGTACATAAGATCTAAAAGTAGACGCTTATTTAACCAATATTAATTTGGCTATGAAAAATTCACTTTTAGACGTTTATGTTACGCAAAATTCAGCGATAAAATTTCTTTTTGGTTGAGATCATGAATCGATTGATGTTAGACCATCATTGAAAACCTGGAAGCACTGGACGCACGCGAACGTATAACCTCTGGACCACTGAGCCGGTATCCAACAGTGTTAATGTTTAACCTCAACCAATCCACGAAGTTGCGCGAGCACCTTCCATTGTACCAAAGTGTATACCTGTCTTTACCTGACATTGATTAGCTAGATTCATGATCCCAATCCAAAACTTAGTCATATCCACAACCCTATACTGGTAAAAAATTTGTTTCTCTTTTATGTTGTTCGTAAGATCTGAAGGGTCATTTAAAAACTAGAGAAAAGTAAACTGCTGATCTGTACTCATTTTATTCACCTAATGACTTCAGTGAGAAGAGTGAACCAAATGGGTCATGTTATTAACTGGGTGAAATATAACCTTAAAATCCTATCACAGTAGCTTGTAGAGACACGTAATTTTATACAAAGCATTTATTATCCAGTAAAAATATAGAGTTCTGTGGAAAAAAGTTTTTTTAAAAAAACTGTTAACATCTGTGATATTCATGCCTATAATTATTTAGTGGCCTTAACCATCCAAACATGTAAAGGTAAGTATTGTATGTTTTGAGGTTATGGTATAACTACATTATTTACTGCAATAAATGAGCCAAGGAAGGATTTAATTTTGAATTGAGATTATAAAGTTACCGAAAAGTACATATGTTTTCAAATACCAGAACTCTGAAATGATATATTCATAATAGCTCTGTGAAGACTGGTCTAATAATTATGTCATTAGAAAAATAATTCAACTTGCATTTTGTATTGTCAGGAATCATCCTGATATGAAGTGAAGTAAGAAGTTATTTACTGAAGACGCAGTGATAGAGTGTAACTGAGAAACCACAGGTTGAGAAAGGCTTGGTAATTTTGTTTTTAAATTTATTCATTCTGATTTAGATCATGATCTTGAACATAAGCGACTGAAGTGCACACAGTGTTCTAGCAAATATGAAAAGTGGTATAGATTAGAAAACAGGGAATCGAAATGAAAATATATTCGTTAAGTAGTGAGTCTTGACTATTCAGATGAAACTGATTAGGAAATAACGATGATTAGTAATGCTTTACTAAGAAATAAATTGTCAGTGTATTCATTCAGTATATCTTTATGAAAAACTTAGAAAAGTAGTAGTTTCATTGATATCACACCACTTTTTGACTACTCCATAACTAAAATAAAATATCCATCTAAACAGTTTAAATGTTAGTGAAATTACAAAAAGTTTGTTCCAAGCGTAAGATGTAAACGAGTTGTGTATAGCTTTTAACAAACTTTCGAAGTATTTTAAGTTGCAAACAAACAATTCAGTTTTGTAAGAATGAAGTTATAGTGAAGTGAACGAGAACACAAATGAGGACAATCGAATGTATGTAAACACAAAATTACGGAATATCTTAGTAAAATCTGAGGACCGTACAGTAAATACTTAATTTACAAAATATCAATCAATTGTCTCAAACTTGACTGTTCCTTTGCAAATATCAGTCAATTGTTTCAGACTTCTTTGTCTTTTCGTTTCTACACTAAACATTCTTTATTCTCGTCCCCTTTTCTTAATCTTCTGCCTCCAGGCATTTCACTTTCGGTTGATGATATATGCTACTACAAAAGTACATACTACAACAATAGTACCAATGATAGATTTATTTAATAGGATCAACTTTTGTACAGTAAAGAATTCTCTGCGGTAGTTGCGCATTATCACAATAAATATCTCTTCAATGTATATTCAAGTTTTAAATAATCCAAACATATTTTGAGGATATTTTTTAATAATTATGGTAAAAGTGTAGTATAGAGACGAGTCAATCAAAGTTGATAAAAACGATTGTTAGATTTTAATGCGAAATTCGAAAATGAATGTTAAATAAGCAGTAGAACCACCTTTGTATAGTGCTCAGAATGTTTGAGATGATAACACAAAATTATTCCTTACAGATTGTATGGAGCAGCTAATAAAAAACAAATTACGTATCTTGATCGTAAGCTGTTATTACCGAAACAAAGTATAGATTAGCTGCAATGAATAAACCAGTCAGATTAAGATAAGTGCTGCTAAATGTTTGAGTGAAAATTACTCAACCATAAAGCTATAGAACACTTTTCCACCATAACTGATGTCTGTTGGTGATGAAAACCTGAACTCTGAATCCTTGACCCTGACTCTAACCGATGACAATATGGGGATACTTAAAAGTGTATTTGAGTCCTTATAAGGCTATGCAAGACAGATAATCTATATCTGTAAGACCAAGTTTATACCCTGTTGCTTTTTCGACTTACAGGCTGAGTCACTAGTCGATAACTTCAACAGCTCCTATAATTAGGTAAAATCTGTTAACAATATAATATTTTTACGTTTTTTTCCTATAAACTATCAACTTACTAAAGCTGTTTTTTTAATTGACCAAGGAATTGCCGAAATTCCTTCATGATTGTTTTAACTTCATACTGAGGTCAGTATCTTCTACTTGTAGGCGAAACTATAATTTATGGATGAACCGATCAGATTTAAGATAGCAGATCTTGCATTTTGGCGCAAAGTTAATTCACTCATTTGGCTAAATACCGTTTCGGCACTATAGCTGATATCAGTTCGTGATGAAAACATTAAATCTAATCCCTAACGCCAACGTTTAACTGTAAATCCTAATCCTAATTGCTCATCATAATATATGACCCTCATTCAACCCTATTGAGTAGGTGGACATTCCAAGGCTATTTTGGCGTTGCTCGAATATCGTCCATAAATTATAGTCTTACCGGTGCTTAAATATATTCCACATTATGTTAAAGAAGAAATGAGAAAAAATGAAGACTTGTCAAGAACTGCATTATTCCTGTTTGAGTTATTGAGTATTCACCATCACACAACTTGTAACCCTTTAATGGTAGCGCACGAGTACCATTGTACTTTGGTTAGTTCAAACAAGATTAGAACAGTCTTTCTGGAATATCTGTGCAATTGGAAAGGTAGGCGACTTAAATGTTTGGGAAAACTGGCGTTAATTAGTTTTAGGTAATGTAGGAATTGTCGGTATAGTGTTGTAAAGATTGCTGAATTTCACTGAAATCACGAACCGATCTAAATTAACCAATCTTTGAAAACATAGAAGCACTGGACAGCGAAAATAAATGAAGTTGAAACCACGACGTTAATATGAGCAAAGATATTATTGTTTTATTACTAGCACTAAGTGTAGTATACTTAAGCCAAACTAAATATACTTTTTCAAAATTATGTGTAGAGAGTAAATTTGAATGAATATAGCTTAACCTGGAAACAAGGATTGAGCGCAGGAGAAAGATCTGTTCTCGGCGACTTTATTATTAAGGCTGTTCTATCATTTATAAATATACGACTATAATTTATGATTATGCCAATTAATCGAGTATAACAAAATCGATCAACAAGCATACTTTTATTAACATTTGCTATTTACTTACTTCTACTTACTTCTACCTTAAGTTTGTGCTGATGATGTCGTTCAGAAGAACGATGAAAGCTCCACGACCAAACCATCCAGCTCAGTGAACAAAACTCCACCAAAAAAGAAAGCTATTTACTCATATATAGAACAATATATATATTCAAAAAATATGGCGATCAATAATTCTTTTTGTTTGGTTGATGGCAGTACCATTATTCATCAGTTTTCTCTTGGTTGTTTGTTTAACTCCTAATTCTATAATCGCTGTTCACTAACTTAAATGTCATACCTATATTGAAGAGAATATTTAGCAATCGTAAAACTTCATTTCCTAAAATGTATGAAATAATTCGAGCTTTAAAAACTGTTTTTTTTTGCTAATCGATATATTTGTCCCACTAACCGTTTTTGATTTCGAGATGGAAAACGGTACGTAATTTTACTCTCGCTCATGAATTCGCATCTTATGTATTCGCATGTTATTTCAAAGTAAACATAAATACACATAGATTATTTTAACGTATTCTTCATTCAGCTCTCATCCTATGATGAACGCTAAGTAATTGATCTGCTTTCTTAGTAACGTAGTGTTTTGTTTCTTAATAATTTTGTCTAATAGACATGAATACGAAAGCCACAATAATACTCCTTTACACATATTTTACTTTTCGTTCATTTGATAGTATATACTTACATAATAGTAAGTAGTTTGATTTGTGTAGTAAAAACTAGTCTTTCAGTTTACATTACTTCCATTGTCTTGAGTGCCAACATATGATTACATCGAAACTATTCACTGAAGTAACTACAAACTCAAATTTACAAAGCATTTCAAAACACGTGTATAAAATGGGTTATTTAAATTGTTAACCTGTTAAAATTGGAGACTGGAAACTAGTCGATCATTTACTACCCAAGTATCTTTATCTTCTAAAAACAAATAATTAAGAAAAACAGTTTAAATATCCAATCAAATTTACAAATAAAGTCGATGTATATAGTTGTTATCACACCTCATGTTACCGAATTTTCTACATCCATCTCAAAACGATAGTGCATTTTCATTTATGAATTTCCTAAAACCATTTATAATAAACTATACATTAAGGTTATAGCGTATAAATGAACACACTATTGGATCATTAGGTGGTTGGATTCTGTTGTCTACCTAAATGTTGAGTCACATAGTTTAGAATCTCTAAATATCTATGGAATTAAGTTAAAGCTGAGAAATAAACATCAATATTTAATTACTCTTTGTCACGTTTCATATACTGTACTCATATAATCAAAATATTTTGGAACTAATAATGTGTTGTCTCTACAACTTCTCAAATAACCTTTTATGAAGTTAGCATAAATTATTTCACTCGTCCTTGTCAGTATAAACAAAATCAGAACTTAATTATTTTCACTGCTGACTATTTGAAAAATATATGATAAACAAATGCGAATAGCTTTGACGAAAAAATAGTCAGTATATATGAGTGATGAGGGACTTAACTACAGGACTACTGGATAAGTTTGAATCTCCGTGAAAATGTCAATCAACTGATTGTTATAAATCCAACTTATTGGTAAGCTCCAACAAACACGAAACCTGGTTAGGCTCATCCTAGTTGCTTTTTAAAACCTTGCTACATTTTTAAATAGCACATTCAAACTTCATCTCTCTGTTAATTCAGATATGAAGACGTATTTTAAAAGCCAGACTAGCCAATGATGACAAGCGATATTAGTTCGTTTGTTGGATATAACACTCACGGTGTTGTATGTTAGATACTATTACATCGCAGAGTATATTTATTAAAAGTATCAATATAAAACTGTCTTCACCTTCATCAATGTAACTCACCAAGTACAGGTTTTTGTATTCGAATCTTAGTCAAACTCCAGATTTGACGGCTAGCGGTGGTTCTTGTCTGTAAAGACCAAAGTAGATAAAGCGCATTTTGAATCTGTTGCCCATTTATTGGGTGCAGAGTTTCTTTACCACTGACTGTTCCCAGTACTTGCTAGCTAACTATTCCCCTTACCGAATTTTGTCTCCTGAACCGTTGAGATCCGAAATAGACAGTGGTAAACCGAGCAGGTTTGAAGAGATTACGTGCTATCCCATTGGCATAATATACATAAGAGAGAAATAGAATGTCAGTTTGTGCCCAACTAAATTATTCATCAAGTCGAAGTCACCGTTTACACGCTCCTGTCTAAGTTAGCAATGCAAATGTTTAGATTTTGACCCTGAAACTTCCTATTAGTTATTGGTTTCTTGCTTTCACATAGCTGACTGTTTATGCGTTGGAAAAGTGTTAATGATTTCATGGGACTACAGAACATAAGTAGACTGTTAATATCCAGACGCTGACAAACCAACTTTACCGTAATCATAACTTATTACTGTATAAAGAATAGGTTTTATTATTAATTCACATCAACTAACAACCAGTGAAAAACAGAGGGCAATTGACACTTTTTTTCACCAGTGAATACTCGTAGCTCCAAATGCACTTGGAGGTAAGCATTACCCTTTTATACTAGAGAATAAAAATCCAGTAGTATATATGATTAACTTTAGTCAATATCAGATCTATGTGTACTATATCTAGAGAACTACAGGTATTTTGTTATTAAAACTAATCTAGAGAGATAAGGAAACTGATGATGAATATAGTGATCTTGAATGCTGTGAGAGATATGGGGGCGGTTTCCACTTCCCGGTTGCCCACACCGTGGAAGGGTTCTTCTAGTGGTTCCTGAAAAGGAAATTGGATTAGAGTTGGTCTTAGTGACCTGAGAGCGTGAATACAGTGCCCAAGCGACAACTGCTTGAAACTGGTCACACATGACCTTTTTGTGAGTAATGTTCTTGCCAGCCCCATACTTGTTGGGAGATGTGTGCATTTTCGAGGTTGACTTTTTCTAACCTCACTCTTCCTTGTAGGAAGACAGCATCATCGTTATGCTAGTTGTCTGGAGGAAACGCTCTATTTTAGTCACACCTCTGTAAAGTCAGTAGTACGACGTCACCCTTGGACCTTAAGTTTGTTGCTTTTAGTCTTACCGCTCTTCAACCAACTTGTCTGGCATGGTAGAACCTTGAGGAACGATTGTTCCAGCTAGTATAACCCGATCGGTTCATAATGATTGGCAAGACCGACCACAATATCAAGGTAGCAGCAACGGTTGGGATTAAAGTTAATCCATTGGTTTTATGTGATGTCCATTTATCTACCCAATATATTCCCTTGATTATAACAAAATTACGTGTTTTTCTCTCCTTTGTTTCTTAATTATAGGTTTAACACTAGCTGCTGCATTAGTAGCTTTTGCTGTAGCTAGATATGATAGTCGTTGGATGCCTTATCCTGAATTGAATACATTATCATGGGCTTATGCTGTTGGAGTTTTAAGTTTTATTTGTACATTTATTAGTTTTACAATAAGTTTTATTACTTATATTAAATTAAATGATTTAATTCATCAACAGAATACAAATGAACATTTACTGAATGATGAAGAGAAAATGGGTATTAGTTCACCACCACCTCCAGTACCACATCATTCTACATTCAATGAACCAAATGTTTATACAGAACCACGTTATATGCCTGATTTACCACAATCAGCATTAAGTTATGTTGATAGTTCAAATAAAAATTGGAATATAAAAGACTCTGAAATTACATATAATTTGAATAAACAAAACAAAGATGATGATGATGATGATGATGATTTTGATAATCCAACTAATTCACGTTTTAATACTTTATCTTATCCAAAAATATAATTAAAAAAGAATGTTCAATTCATAATTCATTTATTTCATTGGTTACTAATCTAATAAGAACTTTGATTGATTTATATCCAAATCTTGAATAAGTTGATTTATGTTGACCCATTTTTTCATAAGAAGGTGAATGTATCAAAGTACATTTTAGAATAATAACTCAAATAGATAAATGAATATTTGAGTTTATACTCATTTTAAATCACTTCAATTTTTGTTTTTATTTTTAAAGAAAGTAAATTCATTTTAAATATCAATATGGAGTTGTGGAGATGTGATTAAGTTTTTCATTAGGATCATGAATTGATTGATGTTAGACCATTAATTTGGTCAGTCAGTCAGTAACAACGTAGAACTTCGTACATACATACCAAATTAGAACATAGATACAATTGTCGATTCAAATCCATCAGTGGTAAAAGTAGTAAGAGTATAAGTAGTAATCAGAAAGATTAAGGTTTGAAAATGTTATTCAAAGAGTATAATACAGTGAAATAAATTTGAAAAGAGAAAAAGAAAACGCATATGAAGAATTCAGAAGATTAGAATTTGGAAGAACACAAAGAGTGGATGCACCTGCGCCATTGCAAACGATTTTGAGCCATGTCATTCAGGGCCTCTAACCATCGGTTGCTGTCATCTCGCAGTCTCCAACCAGGTAGTCTACATCTACCAAAATGACTCAGCCCACGTGTCAGTGACTTCATGGATTTGTGCCATGTATCAGTCTGGAGGCCCCTACCTTTCTTCCAACCTACTCCTATATCATGAAACATCGCACGTTGAGGCAGTCGGTCGTTGGGCATACGTAACACGTGTCCCAGCCATCTCAACTGATGAAGTTTCATTACTTCATCAATTGGTTTGTCATCCTTACCTAGTACCCGTTTCCTAACAACTGTGTTACTTACTCGATGGTCCCACGATATACGAGCAATATTTCGAAGACACCTATGATCAAATACTAGTAACCTACGAATATCCTCTACTCTTACCGGCCATGTTTCACTGACATAAAGTAGGACGGAACGAACTGCTGCGCAGTAAACACGTCCTTTTGTTGATAGACGGATATCTCGCCTACGCCATAAATGACGCAAGTTGGCAAAAGCTAGTCGAGCCTTCTGTATCCGTGCTGAGATTTCGTCATACACCAGACCACAGGGGCTGATGAGACTTCCAAGATAAGTGAAGCGATCGACACGCTCAATTACTTCACTCCCTATCATTAGTTCGGGTGTCGATGAAACCCAATCCTGAAGCAACATTTTGCATTTCGAGTGGGAGAATCGCATCCCGAACATGCTTGCATTGTTGCTTAGAGTGGTCAGAAGACTCTGCATTTTGTCAGCGTCTACACCAAATAAAACTATGTCATCTGCATATTCCAAGTCAACAAGTGAACCTCCTGGTAGAAGTTCAACTCCTGGAAATTTAGATGAGGAGAGTGTTATCTCTAAAAGTACGTCAATGACAAAGTTAAACAAGAATGGAGAGAGTGGACAGCCCTGAAGAATATCACTTGAGTTAATCAGTTCTGATTACTTGGGTTTGAATCCCGCGAGAGGGATCATGGATGCTCAGTACTGAAGAATCAAATAATAGGACGAAATGACTGTTCGGTAATTTCAGGTTTTTAATGGTGGTCTAACATCAATCGATTCATGATCTCAATCAAGAACATAATTTAAATATTTTGGTCAAATGCATATTGCTATAATTAACTGCTATTTAAATAAAATGTTATGATAATGTGTGAATTGATTCAAAACTGTTCAAAGGAATCTACATCCAATCCATAGTTTCATTTAGCTTTAGTCGTTATTTTATTTTCAAAGATCATGCATAAAGGATGACTTAAAGCCAATTACACACATTGTTGTATATGGCTATTGGGCATCATATGTACATGTGTCATACGATGGTTTAGTGGTTCAAGCTCTGAACATTCGATCACCAGAATACAGGTATGTAACTATATTAATGTCTAACTTCAATCAACCCATGATCTGTTGTCTGAGGTGAATAACCATCTCATACGCGACACTGATTGAACACCAGTGGTCATGTCTTCTCACTAGAACCCCAGGAAATCCATCTTGAAGCTAGTCACTAGTGAGTACATAGTTATTATCAGTAAGGGAAGTTGTGGAGATCGCAGTACTTTTAGCAATTGGATTCACGAGTCAATTTAAGCTAGATCATTGAAGTTAGACAATAACACCTTTGGATGTCGGGTCAGTGGTATAGAGGTTAAACGTTCACAAGCAAGACCGAAAGTCCTGGGTTCGAGTCCCGCGTGAAGGAACGTGGTTCCCATGCTAGGACGAAATGGCAGTCCGGTGACGCAAGGCTTTCAAATGTGATCTAGCTTAGGTAAACTCGTGAATTTAACTGTTAAAAATACTACAATCTCCACAACTCTATTGAATTGAGTTACTTAGGTTCCATTAGCCATTTGGTACCACTGACGTTAACGCATCACTTATGATGGACAGTCAAGTACACACATTTGTAATTTCATGATGACTTATATTTAAAAATATCTATGTAGTTGTGGTAAACCCTTAAATCGTAACACTTCATAGGTAAAATCAGTTACCGTAAGACTGCAACTACACCTTACTATAGAAAAGCTTCCTGCCAACTGCCTCCAACCACCAAAAATCAAAATATGATCGGCGAGATATCCGTCGCATTCTACTCTGATCAAACTGAACAATCTCCATAAGCCCTCTAACTCTGTACATTTTCGATATTGTTTTTGCAGAACTGAACATTTAAAGATTCTAAAGCAATCGATTTTTATTTCTAGCATATATATGGTGTTAACAAGTTTCAACAATCTTGAAAATAGTATTTCTTCCAATGAATGAGAGTTATAATTCATAAGCGAATCTCAGAGAATCTCTTGCCGTATAAGTATGTTATGATTACCAGAATTGAATTATTTTATAGATTTTTTATAAGTTTGAAGAACAAATTGCAACTGTGTTCTTCTTGTTATCTGATATTCAAAAACAAAACAAACTTGTATAAAAAAAGCAGATATAGGGAAATGATTCGAAAAAGGATATATGGTAAGACAAAGAAAATATAATCAATTCCACTTCGGATGTAGTTTATCTCATGGTATAAAACTAGCTGGAGATCTATTTAAAACCAGGAAGCATTGGACAACTGTTTTGTCCGAGCTTGAGACTCTTCAACAATGAATATCCAGAACTTCATAGGAAATCATAATCAACATCTTGGTTATATTGTTATCATGTAACAATACCTTAGCATTGTGACTCATAAGCGCTGATAAATGAGTAAATTAATCAAAGTAATAGACTACTATCACAGTTCACTAAATTAAAAGTCGAAAGTATTTGGAGCTGATAAAATGATTTTCTTAGATGAAAGTATATTCTGAGCTAAGATTATTGAAAGCAGAAATTAGCTGTATACCGATTAAAGATTGAAGGACTTTTAAATAAGCAGAAAATAACCGAAATTTTCTTGTCAAGTGTGTAGTACTGTGGTGTGGGTTACTTATATCCACACAAGTAGTATATAACGGCGGTCAGGCATCGAATATATTTCAGTAGAAGGTCGATGAGGAAAGAACAGAAACGGGACGCAATCGGTATGAAAATGTATGAACAATTAAATCCGAAACAGTGGATTGATGTTTGCAACAGGAACAGTCAAGTTTGAGACAATGGATTGATATTTTGCAAATTAATGATTTACTATATGGTTCGCAGATTTTATTGAGATGTTGCACAGTTAAGGGCTCAAGCCCCTCACAGCCTCAATTTCTTTGGAACATGCAATAGCTCGGCATTTTATTGAGATGCTCTGTAATTTCGTGTCACGTACATTCGATTGTCCCTACTGGTGTTCTTGTTCACTACAGTACTACATAAAATGACGGAATAATTAAATGATCAATACTTTAAAAACGATTACAACATAAATCATACTTGAATCATCTTTGGTTAATAGCGATTTTAACATGTCTAAAAAAGTGGAGTAATCATATTATGACGAACCGTTGAAAGCTAGGTAACGTGGAACAGTTAATTAGTTGAAGTCTAGATCTCCTTCGTGATCCAATCCTACGCGGTAATATTACATCTTCATATAACCAAATCTCATACATTTAATTATCCAAATTCTAGAACTTTTTGAAGTATTTATGAACAGTGAATACATCGCCTCATACATTGATTACTTAAGAATCTTCTAGTAAATACCAATATGTCTTTCATTCTCACTCTGTTCATTATCCAATGAATTTATGGATATCTTAAATTTTATTTATAGCTAAGACATTACGTAGAAAGATTTCTATTTAAGGAAATAGACTGTGCCCTAGCCAATATCTCAGCTTACATGTCGTCATCTAAGTCACAAAGAACAAATATATGAATATCTGTTATATGTATACATTATAATTGAGTTTGGAAACCATACATTCTTACTTCAATAGTTTTCTCATTCATATAATGGGCCTAATATACCATAGGAAGTATATATCACAATAGGACAAGACAGTAGGGTATAAGACTATAGACAAATTTTATTTAATGGTTTCTGAAAAATAACGGTTTTATTTATGGTCAACTAACTAAAATCTTTCTGTGAGAACAGAGAGAAAAAACATTCCATTAAATCTTCTTTTTTTTAACTATAGCGAAACACAATAGTGTATGACCTTATTAAAAGCTTGTTGAAAACACCAAATGTTCACTTGTATTCAATTGATTATGAATTTATTCAGAAAAAATAAAGATAATTCATTCATCACTGATGAACCATTGTTTTATAATACTTCTAGGTAAACCATAAACATTAAGATAAAAAAAAGATTTGGAAAGTTCCGAAGAAATATCTTTAACATTTAGTTCCTGTGAAAAAAGAAACTTCAGTAAGATCCTAGTGATTCAATTGGTTCAGAAAAAAAAAGATAAATATCTTTGACTCAATCAATGTTGTAATTACAGAGTAGACTAGTTTAACTAGATTGTGATGATGATTGAGATATTACTGATATCAATGCTTATAGCCTAATAAACACAATCAAATTCTTGTTTTCTGAAATAAACAATAAATGTTTACGGTCAGTTTTAACATGTGTTCATAAATGTTTAAAATACAATGATCGGTTGTTTAAATACCTCAATATACAACCTTATGACGTGCACAACAGGAAAACAGAATGATACTAGTTGCTCCATTAATAGTAAGGTTTGGGAATATTCTATATACCAACAAATTTACCTTATTGTGCTTTGAAAATCAACCTTAAATACTTCAAAAGTATTTTGAATTTTCCTTAATAACAGAATAAACAATAATGTCGAAAATATGTGGTTGATATATATATATATGAATAAATTAGCTGGACAATTTTTATGTCAATGCTTCAATAATCTTGTTATAATTTGCCGTTTGAATGCTTATTGTCTTGGCTCTTTTAATGTTACTTTTTGTATCTGGTCGTCGCTGATTGTTATGTCGGAAACGCTTATCACTTATACTCGAAACGAGGGACCTCTGTAATTCCTACGACGCGAAAGTAAGAACACAGAGACTGGTATAAGTGATGATTTATTAACCCCAAAACACGTCGACGACGACGACTCTAGTAGAAAATACACTCATTTATTGATTGTACACCCATTTCGACTAATAATTATAGTGTAATCACATATATGAAAAATACTTAGAGTTATAACAAATCACAGACTGAGCATAGTTCATGTTAATGGAATACAAGAATATCGCATATTATACAGAATAAAGTATCATGCGAGAAAAGAAAAGAAATACTACATTGAGTAATCATTACATTGAATCAAAACGGAATTAATCATCGACTAAACTCATAATAAGTAAATCAATCAAAAATTGACTTTTCTTTCCATCATATCAGATCTTCCGATGAACTCTTTCACACTGATCCCTCTGAAGTTGCAGAAAACATTTAAGATCATACAGCGAGATCAAAATTAGAGTATAGCAGATATCTCGTTGCCAGTTAGTATGACTAACGACCAAGATTTTAAGAAAAACGACGACTATTATCCACATTACTTTATCTCACCAAGTGGTAAGAATATCTGAAAATAAATAGCCCGTAATTGTGATCAATCATTATTTTTAAAAAGTATTTATGTACATTTCAATTAACAATTATGATGAAAAAGTGATTTAACAATTCATGCTGATTGGTTCCACAGAAGAGTAGACTGTCCAGTGGGATTACCCAGTCCACATCATAGTAATGATCAAAACTTATAATAGAATCACTGTAAACTCATATAATAGAGACTTAAGATTATGATCGCTAATTAAACTCGTTCCTGTCAATAAAACTTAACTTTTTGTAGGATATAATTGCAATGCTTTCATTTGTGAAATATTGTTTTAAGGACTTTTTGGTATATACGCTCATATACGTAAATAATATGAAGCCGATGCTAATCTGATTTTTCACAATTGTCTTATTAGATCTCGTTTAACTGTCGGTAGTCACATGTCACCACTGGTCACCACTCGTCAGTCTGCGGTCGCTCTGAGGACCGAACGTGTAGCCCACTGTTGGCGAATCAGGGAGGATGGAGAATGAGTAACCTTCGTGGCATTAACCACCACACCGAGTGGTTGTGATGACAGGTAGTATGAATTTGGGAGGTGAGAATGGAGTGTGGAAGATATGAAACGCTTCACAATTTTGTGCATGGGCCATGCTAATCTTCTCTGTATTGTTCCATTTTTAGTATATGTACCGCCAAAGCGAGTAGTGACATTTGACTGAACTGTCGAGAGTATTCTCAGAAAAAAGGCTTATTTCTTTCTTTTTTTAATTCAGTTGATATTTACCTACTCATTTTACTTTCTTGACACGCTCTTTTTGTCTACAATCCCATTAATTAATTCTGATTATCTTCAGAAGTCTACAGTTAGTGTTACAAATCTCATTTAAATGGGATAAACCTATTTTATGAAGTTTATAATTTCTGAATACGAATTGGCTAGCATATTCAATGTGAATGATGACCACTGGTAAATATGTTACTACGACGTTCATTGAAATACTAATAAAGACAAGAATCTTAGAAACAATGATACGACTATCGCATGATTAATCAATATTTTCCTAACATCAATCTACTGGTCTCTTGCTAATCAAATAAAATAAAACTTAATAAAACACTAGAATGCTATCATCATCATCATCATCATCATCATCATCATCATCATCATCATCATCATCATCATCATCATCATCATCATCATCATCATCATCATCATCATCATCATCATCATCATCATCATCATCATCATCATCATCATCATCATCATCATCATCATCATCATCATCATCATCATCATCATCATCATCATCATCATCATCATCATCATCATCATCATCATCATCATCATCATCATCATCATCATCATCATCATCATCATCATCATCATCATCATCATCATCATCATCATCATCATCATCATCATCATCATCATCATCATCATCATCATCATCATCATCATCATCATCATCATCATCATCATCATCATCATCATCATCATCATCATCATCATCATCATCATCATCATCATCATCATCATCATCATCATCATCATCATCATCATCATCATCATCATCATCATCATCATCATCATCATCATCATCATCATCATCATCATCATTATGTTGGATCTTTCAAAATGTCTGTCAATCTGTTTATAAAAGCTTTCATAGAAATAGCCTACCAATTAGTTATGTCATGCATTCATTACTGATTCTAATTAATAGACAAAAATTTCTTGAAATCGTACAAATTATCAATTATAATTGTAAAACCATTAAATGAGTAGTAATATTCAAAATAACATCATTATTTTTGGTAATTTAACATTCCACTTACTCGGTCAACATGGTTGAACTCTTGTGTGCACTACTTTGATGTTTAATATCTATAAATCAATGTTTCTTGTTGTTGTTTGTTTGTTTAACTGGGTAGTGGTATGTAAGAATCGATTTTGGTGTAGCTATTGTAAATGTAAATGAAAACATCCTCTGCATATCCAGATAAACACATACACGCATATTCGGAGAAAGAGATGCACATTGCTCATCTTGATTTCGATTGGATGATTTGAATAATAGTGAAGAGATAACATGAAAAAAAATTTTTTAATTTTTATGTAACTATAAACTTAAAGAATAAAATAAGATGCACATAAATTTGTTAAGAAGGCCTTTTTTCTTTTTCTTTTTTTATTGTTTCGTATCTTTGATAGTGAACTCAACAACTATTTGTTGTATGAAAGTAAAGTAATTCATTTCAATACAATACGGATTATTAGAACTAGTACTACTAGTACTACTATTACTATTGCCTTTGGCAACTATTCAATTTATAAAGAGCATTCACAATCAGATATCAGAATATCAGAATAAAAGAACTAAAATAAAAAATAGGAATTTATTGAATCAACAAGATGGAAAATCGTCGTGCATTAATGAAATCTACTGATATGCAAGGACCATTACAGAAAATTGTTGTAGACACATGTGTGGTAGCTACGGAACAATATGATGAAGAAAGAGATATTGCAGCTTATGTTAAGAAACATATGGATAAATATGATGGTGGTGTTTGGCATTGTGTGTTAGGCAAGGATTTCGGATGGTAAGTCTTAGTACAGTGATAATCAGTAAAATGTTTTTTTATTAACTATGTCCAAACTTGGTTTTTATTTTCTTGAGGCAGCACTTAAACCTTTTTTCTTTGTGAAATGTTAGCTTAGGATTTGCAAGTTCCAAAGATTACACAACTTTGCAGAAAATACCGTGTTCTTTAATGAATTTTACACTGTGCATTGTTTTGTACATATTAAAGTATTCTGTTATGGCTTGTGACCCGTTAATATATCATAAGATAATATCGTCAATTAGAGACATCGACTTATACGACCAGACCAATAACGCATAAAATTGTGCAAGCCGCCTATAGTTCTTTTTGATCCTTTGAGATAGAAGCATCTCGGTTAACCCATCCGGTCCATTCCACACAGTAAATATCAGCCTTCGTTATATGAATCATACATTTTCAGATATACTGGGTTTATATACAAACAAACCAGACCGCGTCATACCATAAAACAGAAAATAATAATGAAACAAAATCAAGCCAAAAAGTGGCTGTAGGTGTGGGAGACTGTAGCTAATAACTTGGGAATAATAGTAGTCAACAGGTCAAACAGAAGCTTATAATAAAATGGATATGAATACACATATAATATAGTTACCTGATGGTTCTACAAATAAGAATACATATAATAACAGTGCATACATAGATCTTAACAGTTACCACTCATTATTCTTCGTCCGGATATAACATATTCCTTTCCCAAAAATTATAATCTGATAACATAGAGGTGGAAATTTTAGGATTTGTTATCAATATATGGTTATATTTAGTAGCACATACATGGAAGGGTAGATCTACTGATATAATTCTTTATAATGTTATAAACATTTTATATACAGTGAAAGATTTATCAAACTTCTATCTAAGATATACATTTACTACTTAAAATTACCGCTTCATATCCCCGTTATATTTGACTAGACCATTAAATGTTAGTTTATTAGATTTTAATTCATAAATCCCCCCATTTCTGTCATGGTTTTTCATAATGACATTCATTAATTTGTAATAAATCGTAGATATATAGTCATTAAGTTCACTTGGTATTGTTTGGCTTGTACCTTCCCATTGAGGTTTAAGACTGCAATTTATCAGTTTGTTATTGCCATATGTGCATACTGTGCGTATGCCTCGATATTGCCTTAGTTCACAAGCTTTTTGTAAGCAATGATAGATAGTGGCTAGCAGTGGAATCCAGGACGCGCATTTCGTCCTAGTTGGGACTCGTCAGCCGTATGTACCTGCATCTGAGGTTTGATGTTCACTCTGGGACTCGAACCCAGTTCCATTCACTTCAAACGCCATCGCGTTATCCACTCAGCTACTGAGTCCTGGTAGCCACTTTCTTGTGCGATGGGGTGAATTTAAATTCACTCGGTATTGTTTGGTTTGTATCTTCCCATTGAGGTTTAAGAGTGCAATTGACCAGCCTATCATTAAGTATGAGATAAAAGTTTGCAACAGATTTATTTATCTACTTTCCACTTATGTTTAATAGTTTATTAATGAAGTCTGATTATCACCAGTTGACATTAAAGAATACTATGATACTATGAATATTATGATTCACTACAAGTAACAAAACTGTTGATTTACAATAATGAAGTAATACTCATCGAGTGGATACGTTACGTAATAATTATATAATGACATATCGATTATAAATTAAATGTTCATCTGTTAAAAACGTTTTTCATCGATTATTTATCATGCTTAGTTGAAATTTAATCATTAAACTGAGGTATTCTTTTAATTTACCCGACACGGATTAGCTCCACTGGTCACGACTTCTCACTAGAACTCCGAGAATTCCCTCACGAAGCTAGTCACTAGTGAGCACATGTTAATTATCAGTATGGGGGTTGTGGAGATTGTTAAGTTTTTGGTTGAGATCATGAATTAATTGATGTTAGACCACCGTTGGAAACCTGGAAGCACTGGACGGCCGTTTCGTCCTAGTATGGGACTCCTCAGCAGTGCGCATCCACGATCCCGCACCCCGTGGGATTCGAACCCAGGACCTACTGGCTTCGCGCCTGAGCACTTAACCATTAGACCACTGAGCCGGCATCCAATGGTGTTAGTGTCTAACATCAACCAATCCACGAAATTGCGCGACCACCTTCCATTGTACTGAGGTAGATACCTGTCTCTACCCGACACGGATTAGCTCCACTGGTCACGACATCTCACTAGAACTCCGAGAATAATAATAGTAGTGATACTGTAGATTCTGTAATGATTTTGTTGTCTGTAATAACAATCAAGTATTAATAACGATACTATTCATTTCAATTAATAAAACTTTTTTGATTAATATAAGAAGGGGTGTTTTTGTGAATATCATAGTAATTTCAGTAGTTGACATGAATGTGGACTGCTGAAAAGTCCCATAATAGGACGAAACGGCCGTCCAGTGCTTCCAGGTTTTCCATGGTGGTTGGTCTAGCTTCAATTTTTGAAAAAACGTTTTGAATAAATTTTGTTCTTATTGTTGAAAAAAACAAATTTTTCAATTTTTTTCACGTAATTAACAAAACTAGCTGTTGAATTGAATGCTTAACTTGGAAATAACTGCTTAAACATTAGGTAGAGTAAAAGTTAGTAATGAGTATGGAATTGTATGTACTGTATTTCTGAATAAATTACACAATGAATATATATATTGCTTTAATATGAAGTTGGTTTTCTATATCGTTTGTTGTATGACAATAATCATCCATTTCCATTTTTCAATAAAAAAAAGCAATATCTGGTATCTTCATCCACATTCTTTTCGTCTACTTAATGTGTTAGGGCTTCACAAAAGGGCAATTTTAATGAGGGCTTCATTTTAATCGTCTATAATGAATTATATATTGTCTTATATAAAAACTGACTTAGTATATCCCAACTTATCGAATGAAAAGAAAATAGAAAGGTGAAAGTTAGATCTTGAAATGAAAGTCTCAATGGGGATTATACACTTATATGCAGCATTAACTCACTAAATGAACGGAGAACTTCTAGATATTGTACACATAATAAATAGTGTACTACATATATGCTAAAAATCCTATCTTCAATCGTTTGTTTGAATCACTTATAAAAGTTAAATGAGACAACAAACAATTAATTAAGTATCAGTAAAGGGTTGTGGAGATAGTTGAGCTTAGATTGATATTATGAATGAATCAATGTTAGACCACCATTGAAAACCTAGAATCTCTAGGAGGCCGTTTCGTCCTAGTATAGGACTTCTCAGCAGTGCACATCAACGATTGTGCGTGTGTGATCCGAACCCAGTACCTTCAGCCTCGTGCGCAAACGCTTATCCTCTAGACCACTGGATCGACCCTGGGTTCGAAGCCCACATGCGAGAGCATGGGTGCACATTACTGGGGAATTCCATACTAGGATGAAACGGCCGTCCAGTGCTTCCAGATTTTCAATATTGGTCTAACATTGATCTATTCATGATAAGAATAAATTAAGTGTTCATTGCGCCCAAAATGCACCTAATCTATGGTGTATTTTGCTTTACTTATTAGATCACAGTAATATCTAGTGGACTGAATATAATCCTTTTTTTAATCTAATTGTTTTGTAGATTATTTGACGACAAACTATCTAAAAACTCTATTCCTTTAACAAAGTAAACGTTAGACAGCCCTGTATAAAACAAGCATTATACTACAGAATTATAGCTAATTTTATTATCATATATTTACTGTGACATTCAAAAGTAAAGAACAAATATTATTTACCAATTTTATTATCTCTTTCCACGTTTGTCAATAATCTGCACTAAAAAGAAACAAATAATTTGCATATCGCTCAATGTCAAGTCCCATCAACCAATTCAGGTTTACAAAAAAACTATTAAGACATTTTCTAGAGCATTTCAGGCTGTTCGAGAAAAACTCAAACCACATATTGACTAAAACATTTGCTGATACATAAGTAAATAAAAACTGCTTGTGATTGGCTGTTATTGTTTAGGGATAAAATTAAACGCTATCAATTAGACATTCAGTTTTCTATCACTGAATTTGACATAAATCTTCAGAACAGTAAAATCACTTACATCTAACTGCTTAACATTTTTTTTATCATTTTAATGACAAATTAAAAACACGAAGTTCAGTGAAGGGACCTCTTTTCAACGAATTTATTATCAAGCTGTACAATCGTATATATATGAAATTTGTTGAGTATGTTAGATCCTCAGAACTCACTTGGAAAAGGTCCTCATTTTGTAATTTTATTCTGAAAATTTGAATTTTATGTTTTTGCGACGAGACGCCTAGTTAACCTACAACCAGCATTTCTCACTCTGAAATCCTTGACTATCATTCGTTGACGGATTTCTTTAGTACTCTATTTTGTTGCTCTCCCAAGAGCGTTTCTATAATCGTGTAAATAAGCTTGATTTGTGTGCTTAGTCACCTCGTCTTTTCTGGGTACTTGTAGAATACATTCTGTACACCTCATCAAGACTTCTTGAACTAGTTAGCAGGGCCGGGGACAACGGATCAAAATAGCTCTGTATCTTTAACCTTCGTTCCGTTCACAGAGTAAGTTGAACTCGTAATAGCATTCAAGCATATCAAAATTTTTTTGTTAAAGTACTAATTCCGTAAGGAAATGTGAACATCAACAACTATATATATTACGGTTGGACAGCTTGGCAATAAATTCGTCGAAAAGAGATCCCTTCAATGAACTTCGTGTTTTCAAATTTTAAATGAAAAATGGTTGTTGACATGTGCATATTTACATACAAAATTTATCACTGACTTTGAAATAAACTTTGATGTAATTCATTTAAGAATTCAGCAAAAGTCATATAAGGATTGGTGAAATCAAGGTAAAAATAAATTTCTTCCTTAAGCAAAATATAGTCACTACTGTATTTGATTAATGAAGTAATTTACTAATAGAACTTTATTTTATAACTTGTAATCATTTCATATTCCCTTTGTTTTGAATACAAAAATATACACACACACATAGACCAAACATTTGCTTACTTTCCACCACACTGAATTTTCAAACGTTGCTTTGATAATATAAATTAGATATGATCAGCGGAAATTATTTCAATCGTGCTGTTCAAACTGTATCTTATTTTCAATTCAAAAATAAAACTTCTTACAGTATAATATCCTTGATAAGTGGTTTCATGTTAAACCGATAAATTTGTAAATGGTACTTACTTCCAATGCACCAATCCAATCACAATTGACGGAGAAGATTTGGAAGATGTAAAAACCCTTACACATTTGGGCAGCATTATTCATGAACATGGTGGATCTGATGCAGATGTGAAAGCATGGATCGGTAAAGCAAGAGCAGTATATTTACAACTAAAGGACATCTGGAACCCAAAACAATTGTCAACCAGCACCAAGGTCAGGATTTTCAATACAAATGTCAATACAGTTCTACTGTATGGGGCGGAAACCTGGAGAACTATGAAAGCCATCATCCAGAAGATACAGGTGTTTGTTAACAGTTATCTACGCAAAATACTTCGGATCCGTTGGCCGGAAACTATTAGCAACAACCTACTATGGGAAAGAACAAACCAGATCCCAGTGGAGGAAGAAATCAGGAAGAAGCGCTGGAAGTGGATAGGACACACATTGAGGAAAGCACCAAACTGCGTCACAAGACAAGCCCTCACATGGAATCCTCAAGGCCAAAAGAAAAGAGGAAGACCAAAGAAATGGAGACAGACATGATAAAAATGAACAAGAATTGGATAGAACTAGAAAAGAAAGCTCAGGACAGAGTGGGTTGGAGAATGCTGGTCTGCGGCCTATGCTCCATTAGGAGTAACAGGCGTAAGTAAGTAAGTACTTACTTCAAAGTTATTTAAGGATTGTCAAGAAAATGTAATTGAATATAACATATGAATTGATGTGTATCATTTTAGTTAAACTGATTGATTAACAATAAATCAAAGTAATTGTGTACAAGTGTGAACAATTTAAAACAAAACACCAAGAACTGATAAAGCTATATACTGTACACATATAACTGAAACTGAAATAGAATAATACAAAAAGTGAAGACATAAGGTTTACTAGTATCAATTGAATATTGGGTAGAAAGTTAATAATAAATATATTTTTTGTTCGATCCTAATGAGTAGAAAAATTGTATTTCTGACGTTTCGTGGCTTAATGTAAGACACTTCTTCAGAGTAAATAAATAACCGAACTAAATTAACACAAGTTTGAATAGTACAAAGGAACCAATTTTTCTACCTATTGGGATATAACAAAAAGATATTTATTAAAAGGTTTATTGTCAGTGATGTGATGGAAATGAACATTTGCCGTCAGAGCTGGTACAGAAAATAGCCTTCTTATATATGATTTATCAGTTATCCTATTGAAAAGTGTATCCAGTTTGGTATACACTAATAAAAAGACAGTTGGTCATTGGTGAACATGAAATTCTGGTCTACATATTACTCAAATAAAGTGATGGATGGTTTTTTGTCCATTTGTTTGTTCAATTTGTAAAATCCATTTTAAATGTGAAATAAATGAAGCAGTAAAAATTATCAGCATCTATCCGTAGGATGTTTCTGCAGTTTCATCAGAATTACCTCAATTCTAAACAATCATTTCATCTTATATGACTTGCTCCGATGAAACGACCTATTGAATTTTCTAACTTTCCTATCATTCTAATCCTCGTCAAGAAATTAGTCATTGTACTAAATTTCTGAGTCTTAACATCGTTTAACGTCTTATAGTTGTGTGTCAGTTTGCTCCTAAATTGCTTTTCAACCAAGATTAGTGGATTCTGTCTATTGGAGTTGTTTTTAAAAGGATTCCCTTTATTATTACAGATCTATAGTATAAGACCAACTATACATCGAAAAGGTTGATTGAACAACCATAGTTTATGAAACATCTAATAAATAAGTTACAATGTTGTAAATAAATAAGTTATGTGTTAAAGGAAAAATTTCAATGTATCATTGGTGAAGATGTATTCACTCAAACCAGTAGGTATGACAGAAGAATGCTGTGATATCATGTAAGTTTTTCACATAATACCAAATTTTAGTGAGAGGTCACATTATCTGAAATTACACTGTAGATGGTATGTGAATTGATGCATATGTGACCGTAATCAAACCAATGGTTTCCAAAACTTAATAGAAGAATTTATTGATGAATAAAGTAATTTGTATTTACTAAAAATGTGTTTTAGTAAATGCACACTGTCGATAAATTTTCAGTATAATTATGTCATTATAACTTACAGTATATCTTATAAGCTAGATTTAATGATTCACGTTTAGAAAAATCCGCCCAAAAAAATAGTCGATCAATAAATGCTATCACTGAATCCCAGTTAAGATAATACCTATACTAGAGACCACATATAAACCAGAAATTCATCAAATTAATTTTAGAGAATACACTATGAAACAAGCCGTGAATCACATGTGGAGAAATTTGAACACTTCAATTCTATCTGAAGTTTGTGCTGATGATATCGTTCAGAAGAACTATGAAAGCTTCACGACTAAACCATCCAGCCCAGAGAACAAAACTTCATTAAAATCATCCACCTGAGCTACAAATTTTCTCTATTGTTAAACAACTTATTTTCCTCGCATCAATAAATCTTCTATTTATCAACTTCAAATAATTCAGCAACCTCAGAGTCCTTTCAAAGTGAATCGTAATTCATCTACTTGAAATCTCTATTACAGAATCTAATTACAAGTTTTTAAATTCAACACTTTTTAGGCATAAACAGTAATGCTCGAGTATTAAACACTGTTTCTCTAAGCAAGAAGATCAGTGAAAAGTTGTGAACATTGAACAACCACCATCCATAAGTTTGTAAACAAGGTTCAGCTTTAAATATGGACCATTTAAGTCATTATGGTGCGATCTAATGGTAAGGAATTTCAGCCTTAGTCAATTTCTGACATCAATGTATAATGAAGCACTCCTAAATATAGTAGTCTTATCATCACTCCTTACGATTTTAGAAATTACCATCTTAAACTCTTAGTAAGAAATCATGACCCATGAAATAATCCAATTTAAGGGTAAAAGGGAAATCCATTGTTAGCACAACGAAAAAGGATTGCTTAGTAACCCTATTTGATTGAGGTTGAAATGTGGCCTGATTGACTGCCACTTATTAGTCTATGGTAACTATATCTACCGTTAAAATTAAAACTCTTGAGTATTATTTAAGCACTGAATAAGGTTGAAATAGTTGTCTATCGAAATCTAAACTCCAATGATTATTCAAACGAAAATGAATCAAGATTAATATTTCTTACAAAGTATAGAAGCTTGATGAAAATTGCCATAGAATTTCTCTTTATTCTAACGTGAGAAACTTCGAAGACAGAAACCTCATAACAAGTAAAAATCATTGTCATATTCACTATAATTTACTGTCAATCAGTTATCTGCTTCCTCAAGGAGGCTTTCATATATTATGGAATGTTACCATCCTAGTGAAGTCATCAAATTTATATATTTACTAGGGATACATAGGATTACCGAAGCGAAAATTCAAATAAGTGAATATTATCCTTTGACTGGAGGTGAAAAAAGAGATTACTTAAGACGAGTTTGAAGCCTGTTTATTATTACTTCATTGAATACCTGACCATAATTTAAAGACCTATATTTAAAATCGGACTTTGTTTACAACAGTCAAAACTATATAAACATGAGCAAATTAACTATTCATCACCGTCTCATTGAAAAACAGTATCCCCTGAAACTACTTATTAACTTGGGTTTAATCATTAATAAACAGCTTCTAAATATTGTACTGGATCGTTCATTCAAACTGTCAGTTAATCTTTCAATTTGCTTTACAGTTATGTATCACATTTGGATGGATACTTCAGTTACTTTCAATTCCAAGGGAAATCAATGATTGTCTATCGAACACAATAAAACGAAGGCCTACCTTATTAACATTATTACTATTATTATTTTTATTGTCATTATACATTATGTGTATACGATTTAAATACTGATATTTCTGTATTCCCCTCTGTATAAATGTATTTTATATAATTAAAAAGGCTTAACAATGGTATAAAAAGGTATTTTTAATGATATTCACGTTCACACTCTTCTCTTGAACAAACAGAAAATGATTGATCGAAAGCGTATAATTTGCATAGAATTACCACCAGACACAATAAATAATAAAATGTGTTAGATAGTCAGATAAGCTGCTTGACACAGATCAACAAGGAATACCTATAACATAAGGCAGAATATTGTGTCATCCCCTCAAATCACCAGGGGATAAAAATGTGATCCGAGCTTAGAGCTATGCATTATTGATATATGACTAAGTAGCATAAAACCTACATTCACCCATTCTCCTCAATCATATAAAAAACAACTTTACACCAAATAGTTTCCTAAATGTTACTTTTCCGTGACTGCATCACAAAAAATCTGATCAGCATCAAGAACTAAACCACAAGATATTGGTTTACATCCAGCAATTGGCAAGTGGAATACGGTGTTTCTTAATGAATGACTTATTCAAACACAGGAATATTTATCAGCTCGATAGATATCAATTCATCATTATATTAATAGGTAAACATTTTAAATGAATCACAAAAAATAAAAGGAATATCTTAACATGAACAAAACTTTTTTGGACAACCATTAAGAACCATGAAACATTGGACAATAGTGGACCCAGAATGTCACTCATCAGGAGCAACGACCCATCATCCCTAAGGGAATCGGACCCAGCGCCTTCGAATTGTATGGCGAATGTATAACATTTTGATTGTTGAGTCAGCATACAATGATCTACATGATTAACTTGAAAAAAGCAAAGATCTTGCTCAGCCATCTTTCAATGTCATTGGTGTGTAATTGCCTCATATTTGACATGGCAAGACCCTAATATCCACAACTTTTCTCCAGAATTTCGAGAAGATGGTCGTGTAATGCATGCCTCGAGATTACATTCTGAAGAACATGTGAATACTGTTTGGGTATTGAAATTATTATATATATATATATATATATATATATATATATATGTCATAATAATACCTGACTGACAAAAATTGCGTTCATGAAGTGATCAATGTTAGATAACCATTGAAAACCTGAAAGCACTGAATGGCCAGTTCGACCCAGTATGGGGATCCTCGGTAGTGCACATCCACGATGCCGGGCGTAAGACTCGAACACGAGACTTTCGGTCTCGTACGCCTCCACTGAAACATTTAAACTAACCCAATTATTGGTTTTCAAAGGCTTTTTTATGTTACAAGTCAAGTTGTCATTTTCCATTTCGATATGTATTGACTATCAGTGTGTAAGCTAGTCGCTTCTGATTGCACGATAATTTTTTATTCGTTAGTTTTTCGTCGCAGACTGATATTACCTGGTTACTCAGCTAAACTTCGACATGGTAAGTGTATTTTATTCGATCTATTCAGTTAACGGTATTGTATTCTCAACTAAAACTAACCTTGGATCTCTAACCTTTAAACTCAATATAGGTCTAAATTAATTATTATAAGAAGTAGTAACCTTATTATTTTATTCAACCAATTGACTTTTGATTATTTTATAACGGATTAAAATATGCCAAAATTCGAGATTGAAGTGAATATATGAATTTGTTTAATAATACAGTGAATTGTGTCGATTGACATATGTATTTCATATAAAAAAGTTTCAGTCCACTCGGTACTTTCAATAGTGCCTCTTATTATTTATCTATCCGTTATTCGGGCTTGAAAAATAAGTTAAAATGTGTTTAAAGGTACTTTTACATTTAGACCTACACAAGTTAATAAAGAATAAACCTTTCAATCAAACGTTAATCAAAACAACAGTTACAAGTCTAAGTTATTAAATGAAAGAATAGTAATGCCGTAGCAGATAGTGTATTAAGTATTATAAGCAGAAAAACAATATTACAGAAGGCAAATTATAAAATGCTTTTTCTGTTATAAAACATTTCAAGATTAATAATCGGAGATGGCAATAAAAGCTAGTAACTATCTTGGCACATTAGCCAAATGGATAACCCGATGGCGTTTGAAGCAAACAGTACTGAGTTTGAGTCTCGAATTGAACATCAAATCTGGGATGCAAGTATATTCAGCTGACAAATCACAAATGGGACAAAACGTACACCTTGGATTTCACTACTAGCTATCATCTAACTCTGCTTATAATGTAGAAAGCTGTTATCAATGTCAAAATATTTTTAACTGCATTTGATTTATGCGAGTTGTCCGACAAAGTTTTGGACATGATAACACTTTAATTGAATAAACATAAATCAACAAATCCAGTGCTTTCAGGTTTTCAGTAGTGGTCTAACATTGATCGGTTCATGATCTCAATTAAATCTAAACGATCTTCATAACCCTATACTGATAACAACAAATCAGTTGGTGAATATATGTAAACAGATTTTACAAAACAATTAAACTAACTATTCATGATAGCCAAAAGAAGAACTTATTTATAATACGGTAAATATCTTTAAGGAATATTAAGTAGCTATTCTAAAATAAAAGTACTTATTATAGATCGTGTATTGAAAGAGTAGATACGACTTTAAGAGGACTCTTTAGGTGATATATTCTTTGAAATAAAGTTATTTCATGAAAATTATATAGTAAAAAGGAGAGAATGCGAGTAAAACGAAGCTATTACTTATAAAACACTTTAAGGGTTACCAAAGGTAATCAGATGATTATGTCATTTTTTCTCTCGCTTGATTCAAAATCTGTAAGGTAATAACATTTATTTTTGTACCTGCTTTATTCTATAAATCGTAAGCATTTATGTCATCTATAAATTACCGTCATATTATCTTTTGTTCCTAAGTCACTGTGATTTAAACTTGACCCTTATACTTCCAACGTTCTAGTTCAGATATGATCATATTTTTCGCGTTGTTTGTATTGTGGTCCTGTTAGTTATAAATTCATCTATGCACATTTTGGAGTTAGTTGAACCAGGAATTTAGAGTTTTAGTTTTGAGATGGTGGAGAAGATTTGTACCTCCGGTGGATGATTTTGATGGAGTTTTGTTCACTGAGCTGGATGGTTTGGTCATGGTGCTCTCATAGTTCTTCTGAACGACATCATCAGAACAAACTTCTATCTGAACAATGAAAGCTCCACGACCAAACAATCCAGCCTTATGTCTGACTACAGTTTGACCGTACGAAGATGCTATGAACATAAATCTTCCATTTAACTCCGTATGTTACCTACGCTAACCCCGCTTGTATGACGGCGGTAATAAGAAGCCAGCACGGGTTACGTTGGGTGAATTCATTTCAAACACTCGTTTGTCCAAACAGACATTCAGAATAAGAAGCTAAACGGAGAAGGCAAGTGTGCCTGTTCATTTTGATAAAGTGAAATTCAATGAATAGGGTAAGCAATTAACACATTTACGCTCATATAAAAATAGTTAAGGTTAGTAAGAGAATAATTAACCCGGTCGAAACGTGACTTAAGAAGACTAAATAAATCGGTCTGTCTGGAAGTTAGAATAACCCATGTGTGCTTTAATCAATGGTTAATTTCATCACAAATTTAATATACAATTTTAGTTTCTTTTCAATGCTGAATGTATCAAGTAATCTTGTAATGTAATGTAGTCGTGTAATGATTCATGTAATGTGTACGTACAATATCACTAGTTTCAATTCAGTGGTGAAATGAGATGTCAATAATATATAATTGAAAATATAAAAATCATGTCAAACAGAAGATTGATACAATTGCAATTGTCTTAGACGCAGAACAGCTCATATTTAACGTCTGATAGAGATTAACAGCTTAGCCTTAAGTAGACTAATCCGTCTAGGAAACTTACTGATCACAAATGAAGCGATATATAATCTAAGCGTCATTAATGCAGAAATTCATACTTAATATTAGGCAATTACACTTGATCTTAGTAGGAAGTTTATTGAGTAGCTACTTTTATCGAGTGACCGAACTACTGTCAAAACTTTGAGTGAAAAGAAAATTAAGCCAGAATATTAAGTCAATTTGTTGAGGAGGCACTTAAAAGAGCCTTGTTTCTTTTTCATTCAATTTTCGTTCTTATCTATAATGAAAAGTATCATTAAGTGTGGTATCCACTTGCAGAACCCATTACTACATGTCATGACCGTGCCACTTCATACACAAGAGGTCACTCTTCGTAATCCTTGCAGAGCAGACAAGATGTTTGTATGTGGTGCATTTCGAACATCTGACCCATTCACCAAAACCTTACTTGATGCTTGGCGGTTGGAACAGATAATATCCAGGACAAATATCAAGATTGTCATCATCAGATTCTTCACTAGGTTCAGGGATTTTATTAGTCACCTGTATATCTACTTTCTTTACAAGCCCACATTCACTGCCATCACTGGATATAGTAGCATCCAGATCTATATTTCTGAAAGCATCGTTTCAGCTGTTGATTTGGTCTACGGAAATGGATGATATTTCTCTAGGGTTGTTATACGGATCGTCAGCTCTATTAAATGGAAATTGTGAATAAAACTCAGGAACTGGACCTGGAACAACAGGTGAAGCAATGGGACCAGATTAATAACCTGCTAACCAGCTCAGAAGTTTCTCTGGCCAGAAATCCAAATGATACTGGCGTTTCGTTCATGGAGGCATCTCATGCCAATATTTCGTGAAGAGGTATTTCCTTGTTGTTGCACTTGTGTGTACCATCAATATCTACGATATCGGAAAATCGAAGAGCTAAATCTTTTTTATCTACTTTTGAAAAAAGTAGCGTTCCAGACAACCGTTCACTTCACGATGCACATCCAAGCTCAATGATATGTGTAGCCAACGTCTCAAAATCATCTAACTTTTAGGGATAATAATCAAGGTTACACCGACCTTCAAGATTCGATCGTTCAAATAAACGTCACTGCACGCCAAAAACATCTTTGACGATTATTTTCTTTCTGTAATTTTCATACACAAAATTGAAAACTAAAAAATCTGCAGCTCCGGATATCGATAAAGTACGGATCTTACTCTTCTGCTCAGCAGTCAAACAGTGAAACCTAAGGTCTTTCTCATCAGTAATACGCAGAAACTCGTGATTATAAA